ACACTCTAATGCTGTAGAGTTTTTCTAATTTATTGTGGCTACATCAATCAAGAACATCAGACTTATGCATTCTGTTGATAACAGAGTTTCAGGATCTTGCATAGGATTAAAATGGAAGACAAAGGTCACCCACATCTAAGTCCACTGGGTTTTCTTAGTTATTTTTCAGCCTGTGCTTCTATTTCTGAAATACTAATCTCTTCCTTGCCCACCAGTCAATGTGCCAGTGCGCAGGCACGTGGGACTAGGCAACCTGAGTGAAAGCAGGAAGGCTACCCAGCGCCAGGTTCAGCCTGACTGTGCTGCATGGCATTCTGTGTATGTTGCTGGGAGTTTGATCAGTTGTCTGTGTCACAATAAACCACATACATGCCAGCAATGGTGGAAAACTGATGGTTACTCCCCTAAATTAAATCCACTTTCAAAACCCAAAGTCATTTGGAAACATGCTGAATAGTCAGTGGTAATTAAAATGGGACACAACATTTTTTGATACAAATAAGTACTTAACTAAGTCTCTTATAGGACCAAGAATGGCTCTGAAGTGGTCCTTCCTTCTCTTCTACTTTTTCCACCACAAAATAGTCAGATAGAAAATGATTTCCTCTGAGACCAGGTGTTTCTAACCCAAACAGGTCTAAAAGCACTTGGGACAACAGTAATTTGAATAGGACTTAGGTGTGAACCCTGTGAGTTCTGATCATTTAACTTAAATATTAATTATTTTATACTTCTAGGTTTGTGTGTGTTTTACAGTAAGTTTATAAAGTAATGAAACAAGGTTGTAGGCAGAAAATATGTACTTAAATCTTGTTTCTAATTGAACATTTCTACCAAGCAATCATGTTTGTTAGGAATTTGGAGGAACCAAAAGGGACTCAGCAGACTCAATATCAGAGCATGAGGATCACAACAAAAGGAAAACAAGACATGAGTGACATCCATGGCTGTGGGGTGGCATGGCAGCAGAGCCCCTGCCTGGCATGCGCCAGTCCTGTGGTTCCATCCCCAGCACCATACCCATTCACTAAGACTTGTCCAAGGTCACCTGGCCCACATTGACCAAAGTATCCGGTATCTTAGCTTTCAGCTCTAACTCTTGTCCTTGGTGATCCATTATCCCAGCATTAGAATTTTAAGATAGGAATGTACTGAAATACTTTTCATATATTATCTGATTTAAATGACAACCATGCAGGACAGAGGTTACCAAACACAATTTATGTAAGAGAAACTAAGTCATAGATTAAATAATTTGTCAAGGTCAAAGACAGTGAATAGTAGATGTGAGATCCGAACACTAGTCTATCTGATCTGCCACCCTGAGCAGAGGTGGAAAAGGCCAGGTTTAGAAAACTGATCACACTGTTTCCTTGTTGAGTCCCCTTTCTCCCAGGCTTTTGTTAATAAAGACACTACCATTCTAGTTTTTCAGACTATGCAACACTTAGATAGCCTATTTTCAGGTATTACAGCTGCCTGAAAGTAATAAGATAGTTTCTTTTCGCCACACTGGGGATCACGCAAGTGGTCTGCCCTGAGTTAAACCCTAGACCCCAAAAGATAGTTTCTTTTAAAAATTCTGTAATTTAGAACTTCCCCTCTTTTAATCTGACCATCTCACCCACTGAATAGCCTGAATCAAAGAATTTACTACATTTTAACATTATTGGATTATTAGATTTTAACAGTATCAGGGGAAAGAGCACAAAAGCAAAAATTAGGTGTAAACCCTGTTCATTGCAGAGCTGACTCTTCACCCATCCGAACATAAAAGGAGGTTGCGAGCATAATTCCCATCTGCATTACAGCCACTCAAAGTTAATAAAATTTAAATTCACCCTGAGATTTAAGACATCATGACTACGTAGTATATACTTACTGGAAATAATAGGATGTTATATTTTAAAAGTTATTATTAAAACAGAAACAGAAAAAATAGATTTCCATGCTCTGATTATCTTTTATCTTCTTGTTTCAAAATAAAAAACAAACAACAACAACAACAACAAAAAACACCCCCAAACCTTGCTTTGCTTATACTGGTGACAAGAACACTGATTCTAATTATTCTTTGTAATTAAGTATCAAAAGTGTCTCTTGCTTTGTCATCGGTCCTTAGGAAATAAACCAATATGTATCTGACACATAATTTTCACACAGGAATTACTTACATGGGGAGCACACATGTATTGATTTTAGGAACTTATTGAAAGGAAAAAAATTTCCAGGCAGAGTTTGAAATTATTCAATTTTCCGGGTAAGTGAAAACCTTACACAGAAAACACCTTTATGTCTACCTTCGCGCTGGAAAACTTTCTGGTTGATTAGCAAACTTTCCTGTCTATCTGAGCCATCCACTGTTTTATTCATATTAAAAAAACGTGCTCACCCATTCACTTGAGAGCCTACTGCAGGACAGGAATGGCCCCAGGTGTTTGAGAAAACCAGAGAACAAATCAAACCAAAATGTCCCTAAAAGTCCACTGAGCTTACACTTCAGTGCAGGGAGAGAAAAAGTGAACAATGAAGAGAATCTGTGTAGAGAAAACCAGCAGGTGACACCTGCCAGCAGGCGGGGTGGGCAACCAGAGTTTGGAGGAAGAGGGGCTACAGGTAAGCAGGTGGCCAGGAGACTGCATGAGAAGATGGGGCCCAAGCACAGAGCTGACAGAGGTGAGTGGGTGGGCCAGGCAGGTCTGGGCAAAGTGTGCTAGGCAGAGGAGACCACACAAGCAAAGGGCCCAGTGGGGAATGGGACCTGGCCAAAGAGGCCAAACTGGAGAGAGGAGAGGAGAGCAGGAGGGTGAGTGATGAAGAGGAGGTAAGGGGCACACACACACACATGCTGGGGAAAGATGTATGTACCAGAGGCCCCACTGACGGGCAGGCACCCTTGACCCTGACTCCTGTCAAGGGCAGAAGGTGCACGCACCTGAAAAGCCACGGTGGTCTTGCCACTGATCTAAACCAAAGTGCAATCCTTGGGTGTGAAATTGCTTTTTAAAAAGTAAAGGAACATTTCATTTTTTAATTGCTGTCCTGACTTCCTAGTGCTTTGCTAGTTCAAGTCCATAAGGCGGCACAATGTGGTGGTGTCACAATACATATTAGTATAGCAGAGCCAGCCAGAAGCAGCCCTGGAAATAACCCTTCTCATTCCTGGTTTCGAGAGATCCTAACAAATAACACGAGTTTTTACTTTTAAAGCCTGCAGGTAACTACATTAAGTTAAACTCTGAGTCATTACACTGCTAATCTACACACAGATGAATGAAGAGTGCCTGTCTAGGAAACGAATAATTGCCCTGTAGATACCCCAAATCCTCGGATTCCTTTGGTCTAGCTGTATTGAGGGAATGGAGTTCTCAGAAAGGTACTCTTATTTGCTGAACGCCTGTCAATATGAAAATAGGTGGCAGTAGTTATTTCAGCTACAGGATGTCAAGAACTGAATAATCAAGCATTAGGTTACAAAGTTTAAAAGTTAATACAGCAGCACAGAGTATTTGTATTAGTGCTTTAAGTGGATAAATTAAATTGAAATGTGTCCCTTAAGCAGTCATTGAACGAGCAAGATGAGAAATAAATTGAGCTTCACATCGGCCTTTATGGCATCTAACAACTGTGTCTGTCAACACATGGATCCTTTTCACTGTCAATTCAACGCACATTTTGCAGACCTTGGGCCTGCAATTATTTCATTTCCTTTCTTGGAAATGTAATTTCCACTTACTTTTGGAGAATAAAAGGCAGACAAAAGGAAGAAGGAGTTGCAGTATTTTCTGATTAAGATTATCTGTGTAAAATGGTAAAGGAAAAAAAAATCTATACACACACACTGAAGCATTTCTCAGAAACTAACTTGTCTCAGCTAAATTGCTTTTGTGTCTGGGTATTGGTTCAAATGTAGCCAGACTGTTGATGTCAAATTAGGTGTTAAACAAATTTAATAGGAAAGATGAAGAGTGAATATAGATCATCTTTCTGTTAGAACTGTGCAAATGACTCCAGTCAAAAGAAAGGAAACACACGACTGCAGGAGAAAATGTGCTTTTAAACACAATGAAATTAGATAAAACTGTAAATCAGCAAGGAAGGCCATTCATTCCAAAAGAGGGGGGGGGGAGAAAGTTAATAGCACCAATGAGAGAAATGCAAAGAGAGGAAGAAAATACCAGTTGGCAAAAATAGATCCAAATTGAATTTCAACTTCATTTGTCCAGGTTTCACCTTTTAAGCTAAGACAGCTAAAGCTACAAAAAAAAAGGGGGCTCTTTCTCTCTTGACAGAACAGGAAATCAGAGGTTTAATTAACTGCGATTACAATATTCGGCTGATCTGATTTGCCTCACCTCTTCCTTTTCTTCAGCTGACAAACTAGCTGACGTCCTGGCAAGAGAACTAAAGCAAAAGTGTAGACTAATTTCAAAAAGAGCTTGCCATTGTTATAAAACAAATTGATCTTCCACGAGAACTCACTGACAAAGTGTCACTTTAGAGCCAGTCTGCGTACACGACTCCTTACATAGGATGTTTTCATCCCAGGATACAGCAGGGTGGAGGCACATCTTTCACAGAGGACCAGGAAATAAGTCTGTACAAAAGAACGCTTCAAAGTGGCCTCTGCAAGATCTAGCACCTTCTCCGGCTGCTCAGGAACCATGAAAGACAGATGAACCTAACATTTAACTTTGAAGGACTAGGTGTCTCCTGATATGGAATTTGAGTATCAGCCAGGTCAATTCTTTGTGTAGAAAAAGAACCTGTTGCCAAACCAGGTTAGGGAAGGAATTCCCTTTAGACATGGTATTTGCTCTGGATCTGAAGGAGAGCTCTGGGGCAGGTGCTCAGAAGCAAAAGTTGGCTCATCAAAGGAAGGAGGAAGAGAACTGTCTAGCCAAATCAAAACCTCTCTGAAGAGAAACAAACCAAACAAACACACGTTAGTCATTACAGATTCTTCTATATACTACTTAGTAAAGAGCATCGTTACTTACTGAAACGTAACCTTGGAACTTGTGCATCCTTCCAATTTACGGGGCCCTTCACCTGGCTCAGGTGTTAGGGGGGACGAACTGTTGAATTCTGCCTCCAGAGTTTTCTTGGTCAAGGCTGTTTTTGTTACACTGGATACAGAACCCAACACTGGCATGGATTTGGACTCTGAGGTGGCTAATATCCCGGTAGGACCTTAAAACCAAACACATACCTCAAGTTTAATTATTCTGTGTGATGCTTATTAATATGGTACTGAAAAACAGATTAGGTGAAAACCCTCAAGAAGTGAAAAGGACAAGTTGGTTAAAAAWTTTCAGGAGCATGCTGAAAGTGTTCCTACTGGAAATCAGCTGCTGCTTTTCAAAGTACCAGGAACACGCTGAGGAATTGTGCACAGAGCTCTGGGAAACCACAAACCCCAGCCATGGCTCCCTCGAGGACCAGAGTCCGCAGTGACCCTGGAACTGCGAAAACTCTTTTCTGCCCCCAGAGGATGGCTTTCTGGCAGCCCTGCCCAAGCCATCTTGCCTTTCAAGAGTTAATTCTTCCCAAAACTTGGCTCTGTGTTTTACATGGAAAATGGAACGATGTCAAAAGGCTCTTTTTAAAAGGCTCATGAAGGCTTCTTGAGCATTAAACAGCTTTTATGAACATTTTCATTTTAATGTGAATGAGAAGTAAGTGGATTTATTGCCTCTTAAAATACAGACACAGGATTATGAAAATTAAGAGGCAAAGGGTTTGGCTGTTTACCTTTTTGACTTTTCTGTTCTTTGGGATGGCATTTAACAACTACAATAGGGCTTGTTATTGAAATTACTGGCAAACTGGTCTAAAAATGCTGGGCATGTGAACAACACCTCATYCTGGCTTCCTTCTGTCTTTCTATAGGAAGACTGTATCCAAGGCAGTTTTTCCTTAAAGCAAACTTCCAGTATGTCTTTCCTGAAACTTCAGAAGGCATGCTTTTGAAACAAAGAGATTTATGAGATAAGCCATAGATATGAAAATTCAATGACAATTTCTAAAAATTTGTTTGAGAACAACCTTGAAAGGTAATACTAAGAGGAGGACATAATTTGGGAGTCTCCATATCCATAAGAGATGTCAGATCATCTCTCAAGATGGAAGCTTCTGGTAGGTACAGTCTAAAATGCTAGCTCATCCCTGGTCATTAATATTTACCTCTGGAATTTTATTCTTAAATTTGGCTAAAATTATTTGCCTGGGAGACACAACCCTCCAGACTGGAGAGAGTGCCAGCCCACAAAGCATTGGTGTGTAACTTCCTTACATATTTCATCTGAACCATTTGGGCAGACGGTTGGTGACACTACTGAATATTCAGATTGAAAAAGCCTTTTCCTTTTGGCTCTGTTAAGCCTTGTGTTGCAGGGGGTGTGAGAGTAAAAAGAGAAGGGCAGAAAGACCCAGAGCGCTAGCTCCTGGAAACACAGAAAAGAAGCTGAATCCAGACTTTCTGCAGAGCAGCTCTCTTCTGCCTCCGGGTAACTGATGACTTCAGCCCTAGATAGCTTGAAACAATCTGCCCTTGTGGGAAGGCGTGATGCGTTTCTGAACACACCAACCCTGCTGCTTGTTCTGCAACTGAAGCCAAATCAAAAGGAGGGAGAGTAGTGAGCTGAGCCAGAGCTCTTATTTTTCTTACATACAAAAAGAAATTTTAAAAAATGCACCATGTTTGAGATTATTATTGCTGCACCCTGCTTGAGCCAACCGATGCTCTCTAAGAGGCACTGGCTGATCTTTAAGTCATCAGTTTGGCAGGCTCCAAGGCTAAGGAAAGCAGGGGAACATCACTCAGCACCAGAAGAAAAACTCAAGAAACAATGGTGCATGCCYGGCTGTTGGGGGCGACACCCTCCAACCCAGGATCTGAGTCCTGCCCAGTCTGGACCACCTCCCTTTTGATACTTCCTTTGTCCAGGGTGTCCTCCCATCTACTTTTCTGTACGATTTTGTGTGCAGAAGCAAACAATGTCAAAGACTTCTCTGCACCAGAGGCACAAATCAATCCAAGACCTCAGCTCTGTCATTTGACCCCTGCCACGCAGCTGCCAGGCTTCCGCTGCTTCCTCAATCTCTTCCCTGGAACTTTACACTTTGCCAGTCCATGACCTCTAGAAAAAGATGCAGGGAGTAAATGCCTCTTCCAGACTGATGCAAGGAAAATGTCTGCACCACAATGGTATGATTTCATTTGGATGAAGAGAGCTTGCCAGTCTGTTGTTTCCCTTTTTCCCTTGGCTATTAGGAAGCTCAAAGAAAATTTCTGTTCAATTACAAGTCACTCTCTCAGTATATCTCCACTTCACCTCACCAATGATAGTTCTTATTTCTCTATTCATGTTATTAGTGRTTCTACTGAATTTATATCATTAACTCTAACTTCCCTCAAATGATACATTGACTATTTGGACACTGGTGAAATATAATCAGATAAAACAAAAGGTCCTCACCACGCCTCTAAAATATGTTCCTTTCTCCACTTAGAATTATTCCTATTTCCAATCTGACTAAAATGAAAGTGGATCCTCATTTCTTCCAATGAAAACTAACTGAAACTGTGAGAGTTGCATGTTTGTTCAAATTTGTGAATGAAGAAATACTTCTGGAGGAACAAAAAGGTCTATGGCAAAGCACGAACTGTAAATGACAGCAACTAAAATGTYACCCACAAAGTCCTAAAACACTAAGCTGAAATACTGGAATGAGTGACTCAAGCACAAGACACCAGATGAGTAATAACTCATATAGAAGCTGCATAAACACTTGTATAGCAACCTAAGAAAAGAGTGTCTCATGCACCCCTTTAAATTTCCTGACAGGTGGTTATTTTAGGGATTAAAAGGAAGAGTCCTTGCAGGATTTTAACAGGATTTGCAAACCAAACTGCAGACTGAATAGCTAAATTTAAAACAACAACAACAGAGGCTTCATCCTTTTATAATAAAGTTTGGCTGGAATGTTGCAGATTTTGATTCAAGGAATCAATTCACTCAGTTGTGTAAGTAAAGTCTTTAAAAAAAATACTAGTGCTTGAAGCTGGGTGGTACACACCTGGAATTCCAACAACCGAGGCAGCTGAGGCAAGAATGCAAGTTTGAGGCCAGTCTGGGCCACTTAGTGAGACCCTGTCTAAAACAAATAAATTAATTAAAAGAGCTAGGGATGTAACTCAGTGGTAGAGTGCCCCTGGGGTCAATCCTCAGTGCTGCAAAAACAAACAAAAAAAAAACTAGAAGCTAGTCATCAAAATCCCAYCTTTAATATTCTTACAACTTAAATTTGGTCAACACGGCTCAATTGTTTACAGATTTAAAAGTTACAATGGACTATATAGAATCAACCTAGTTGAGCCTAGGAGATTCAGCCCATCGGCTATGGCTGTATTTCCACCTCCACCTCCACAAGGGGGAACCTCATAAAGGCTTCTGCTAATTCCCAGGACCAAGCTGATGAAAACAACCAAAGATATACAAAGTCAGTTCTGGCATACATTTTGAGGCCTAAAATGTGGCTAACATGACTGGAACCCATACTGAGCCCAGGCCTTGCTCAGATGGTACACCTTTAGTCTGGGACAGGGTTGGCCATGAAGAGAAAAGATAGTCTCTCTGCATTTGTAACTAATATGTAATTACTACTAAAACTACCAATCATCAGGTGCTTACTTGGGCCAGGCACAGTGCTAAGCACCTTTCCTGTATTTACTTCCTTAACCCTGAGAACAAGCCCATGGAACAGTGCTTACATTGTCCTTATGCTATCAATAAAGAAATTGAGGCCTAAGGACAATCGGCAAGCAAGTGACAGAGATGGGAGGCAAACTCAGGCAGTCTGGTTCCAGAGCCTGGACTCAATGCTATATTCTTGGCCAAACACCAGGGCATCTCACATTAAGCAAATCAGGTCTATAAATGCCTGATTACCTACAAATGAATAAGTAAACAGACATACCAATGAATAAAAATATGTGAGTTCTTATGAGATATCCGTGAATACCTCTGCCCATCCACTACTTCTCACTCATATTAAAAATAAGCATTTTAACAGTAATTTTTAAAAGATTATTTCAAGCTAAATAGGGATTTAAAGGAAGAGGTGAAGAGGTGAAGAGCAGAACTATGGAGAATTCAAACGGCTTACTACTGCTATCTGCTTCTGCTGTCAACTTTCTGCGACGCAAAATCCTTTCTAACTCAGTTTCACTGTTTTCRGGGTCAAGGGATTTTAAGCTTCTTGAACTAGTGGATTTGTTAAGTGTCCCCTAAAGTAAAAACAAAACAAAAACAAAAAGGTTAATGTCTTAATACAATATACAAAAAATTACAAAAATCAAACCAACAGAACATTACCAGAATTTGAATGGAATTAGGAAACAAATTTGCTGTACATATATTTTAAATGTGCACATCCTCAACAGAGGGTTGAGCATTTAAGAAGATGTTGCTGACGAGGGAGATGCTGGYTTTGCATCAGAAGAGCAGAACGAGAACACCTCTTGATGATGAGATGACTATGAAATTCACCACTGGGAAAGTCCTTGCCCAATGACCTTTAAGATTCTGATATGTGTTGATCGGTGGAGAAGAGAATGGATATATTAAACTCACCTTAGGAGGGTATCTTGATACAGCAGCCATGAGCCACCGAACCCAAATCCTTGTGGCACTAAAAAAGTGTGTGGCTGATTCTTCAGAGAGAGGGACCCCCCATTGCACACTTGGTGACAATGGTGTTGCGGCTGCAAAGGAAGCAGGCTATGTTCTCCCAGGTGGCCTGTCTGAAGAAGGACTGCCCTGATCACACCTTGACTTCAGTGTGCAAGAAGAGAGTTATAAGTACACAGGGAGGCATCCAACTCCATGTTCCTAACAGAGATGACAGTGGAGGTACTGTGCAGGGCCCAGAAGACACTGGAGGAAACAAGAGAAGCATCCCACTGTGCTCCTGCTTAAATTGGCACCTACTTCCAAGAAGACAAAGATCCCTGCAGGGGTTCCCTGCCCCTGCGACAGAGGGAGAGCTATGCTTTCCACCTCCACTTCTAGTCAAGGGTTTGTAGAGAATATGGGTGATGTGCTTCTCCACTGGATTAAGGATGTAGCACTTCAACATTACCAGGTTTTCAGAAGAAAGGTCCACTTTCTGTGAAGTGGTTCTCCTCAGCTATGCCAGAGGCTTGGGGTGGAGGGAGGAGCCAGGAGAACCATGGTCTTCTGATCAGAGGATAAAGGAACTCAAGTCCAATATAACTGGCCAGACTTCATGCCTGAGTCAGAAGGAGCTTTTGTCCACCCAGGCTAATTACCACGCCAGTGTCTGACCAGCTGAACTCACTAAGCTCTTGTCTCACTCCTGTTCCCTCCCTAATGCCAACTTCTGGAAGATTCTAAGAATTCTACCTGCTAAAAAACGGTAACCTGTGTTTCTTCTTTAGACTATAAAACAAAAAAAAAAGGGTCCTTATAAAATCAGACRTTTACAAATTTCACATTGATATAGGTTATTATGTTGCTTTTGTTTAGGAAAAGTGCCCCACTCCCCCACCCCCTGCTATCTGTTTGAAGTTATAAAAAAAAGTATCCTGCTGTCTGGAGGGAAATTGACTAATAAGATTAGGAGACTATATTATTTTGCTGTCAGCTACCTTCACAACTCATGTGTGAAATACTTAGATAAGGCTCATATTTCAATCAGATAAGGCTCATATTTAATATAGTACTTCTTTCTATGGAAGTACCTCTTTTTGCTTTGCACTTACTACAAAAATTCATAAGACATATGAAAAGGAAAGTCACATCATATATAATACCACAGTAGCTTATTTTATAATTAAAAACCACGATGACCTGTTAAATTTAACATTGCAGGTCAGTATTTAGTTATTGAAGAGAAACAGAGTGAGGTATGATTGTCATTGACAAAACAGAACTATAGCTACTTTATAAAACTTGAAAAGCGTGTACTAGAACAACTATCCCCATATCATGTGTATTTATAATACTTAATACCATCTGTATAATATGCTACCAGATGTTTGAAAACTTACAGTTATCACTACTGAAATAACTTATAAAATTTAATACTTTGTTTGAATGTCAAGGACACTATGGTTTTTCCTAATCGCTGGTATTAATTCAAAGAAAAAGTGTAGGGTATTTTCTATTGTTAAATTTATCTTTCACAACATCATTTGGTTTTTTTCATGTGGATAACACAATTATTCCCCCAAATTCCTGACTATAGTAAGTTATCCTGTCACACCTGAGATGGAGGAAGTCCACTTTCCAAGTTCTTACCTTTGAGCCTAACTTCTTCCTCCACTTACCGCCTGATGTGGTTGAGTAAACAAATACAAAAGCAAACTTTAAATCTACAGGCAACTGTGGATGACAAAGATTCTAAACTCTCAGCAGAAACAAAGAGTTGAGCTCATAAAGTATGGGAGATTATCTTGGTTATCTATGGTAGAATAACAGAATTTGAGAATGAGAAATTGGCTCATTAACCATGTGGTACATACAATTCCTTCATTTTACAAAGAGAATTCAAACTCAGTGGTGAGCTGAAGGGTCTGGGCAAGGTCCAGACTGTCCTAGGCAGTGCTCCTTAACTGAMCACTGGGTAACAAAATCTTCTGTTAATTCCCAAACCAGGGTTCCTTCTACRTCACACCACCCTGAACATGAAACCCTCTCAGGCTCCATGTTTGCTAAGTGCTCACTACACTGACTGATCTCAGATGGCAAAATGAACTGTTCAACAATTCCTATGTACTTTGAAAAACTGAAAATGTTTGAAAAAGACCCATAAGACAATTTGTTTAAAGTTGTTTTTGTTTCTTTGGTTTGGAGCTAACTGAATTTGAGACATTTAGATTAATTTATATTGATTTATTCTTCAGGAATCACCACTGCCACTTAGAGTGGCTTTAAAATGACTGAAGTGATTCGGTCATTTCCTAAACCTTAAAACTTGTGTAACTATGAGAGATGAACTATACATATTTTATCTAAAAATAATACAGCTTTAAAAATTAACTGGAAGTAGGTTTGGAATAATGAGTTGCACCATACTAATACCTTAAAAATTGTACAACTCAAAATATAGAGTAGAGTTTTCCAACTCCCCCCAAATCAGACATTTGTTCCTTCATGTGAGATTTGCTCAGCAGCCGACCAAATCTCTAAGGCTTAGTTAGACCTTGAGTCACATTCCACTGCAAAATATCCTTTACTGAGCTGCTTCCTGGTTCAGTCCTGGAAGAGAACTAACTGAACACATATTTCCTAGTGCCTCTTGGCACACACAGGTGCTTGCTCTCCACTTCAGCATGAAACTATGAGCTTTTTGGTGTTTTTCTACATTTGCTTCTCATTTGCTGTGATTGTAACGCTGGGTACTACCCTTGATAATCCTAATAGTCAGAATCCTGGCAAGAAGCACCAGAAGCAGGGTGAGCTGGGGGCTGGTTCTGCCTCTCATAAGAATGTGCCTAGTTTCCTGACTCCAGTTGATTGGGAGTTATAAAGAGTCTGCTGTCCCTCAACAGAAACTTCTATTGGGGTACAGGAGAGTTGCAGCTTATTGCAGAGGTGGGGACAGGATCATGAGGTCCATTTTTAAAAGATACTTAATACAAAGAAATTATATTGCCAAAATAATAACTACTAGAGATCCACTAATGCCAAATAAGGTAGAACAATCTAATAATAGATCTAGGGCAAAAAGGATGGGAGCAACTTGCAAAATATGACTTTAAAATTTTTATAATTTGTAAATAATTTCTCAAATTTCTCTCCTTGGAGTGGCAAAAAATTATAGAGAATATTATACTCAAGAATATCATTGGAGCTAGGGGTGTAGCTCAGTGGTAGAGCTCTTGCCTGACAAGGGTCATGTTGTTCTGGGCCTCCCTCTCCCCCAAGAAAGTATTGCTGAGATCCAGTAACTTGCCACCATCCAGAACTGTCAGGGAGGGGAGTATCCTGAAYAATCAAGTGTTACCATGTTTCTCATATAAATTTCTAATTTTAAAAATAAACCAAACATATAAGTCAAGTGCAGTATGTTCTCTATACTAATAGAGAGGATCAGAACTCTCTCCAGCACCTCATAGTGCTCCTGGGGACATCTTCATCAACATTAATTAGCATCCTAATGCAGACAATAAAAGGGACTGTCCTAGGCAGTGCTCCTTAACTGAACACTGGGTAACAAAATCTTCTGATTAAAGAAGCCATTAGATAATAACCACATCGCTTTTTTTTCAGTGGTTTTAATCCTTGATTCTGTAGGTAGACCACCACTGTTAGCCAGTGATACACCTCTCTTCAGGGCTAATCCCACTCACTTAAAACTAAAGCAAACTAATTAAGCCATTCTACGTTAAGTCTACTGTTTGAAGACACGCTTGATGAAAATAATTCTGTTTGCCGTCATTATGTGATGTCTGCAYGCAACGCATAATTAGCACAGTAACAACAAACAGGGGCGTATCAGTCCCGCACCTCCGCCCCCACATCACAGACTCACTGTGCAAAATAAAGGGGATTGGGACTGGAACAGGGTCTGAAAATAGAGCTCTGTGTCTGAAGCACTTGCTACGTGAGGTATTTGTCTCTGAAAGGGACATTTGGAGAGGGCAGCAATTTCCTCCATTGGAAAAAGCTCCCACTTTGGAAAACAGAAATAGAACTAGAGATGGACGTTATGCACACTTCCAACAAATATGAATTACCTTTAGAAAATGAAATTAGCATATAGAAAGGGTCTCTTATTGTACCCTCCAATTTTTCACTAAATAATTGCTTCAACTGTGGGAAAAAGCAGACTRTGACCCTGAGATGAACATATCTGGGTGGGAGCTCAGGTTTACATGTAGGTGTCAAGAATCCCACTTTCACCCATCAAGGGAAAGCGCTCTCCATGTAAAGCACTACCCATCTATTATAGTGCTGTTATTCACAGACACGTACTGATCCCCACATATGGCCAGACACTTGACCTTCATGCTACAATGCCAGGATTAGAGGGCAAGAACAGGAAACAATGACTTTGGTGGAAGTGTAACCACTCTTTCAGAGTAGAAAGAGCAAAGTGATATTTGATACGTTATTCGCACATGCGATAGAGGAATCCATAAGTACAATCAAGTGAGCTGTCGAAGGAAATGAGGTGAATTAAATGAAAATAAAACAGACCAAAACAATCACCATAAAAAAATAGACAGTAACAATATTTTCCTTTCCTTTATCCATTAATTAAACAATAAACCAGTATCTATTCTTACCAGTATTCCTTTTAGTTCATTCACTGCACTTTCAGAGCCTTTTGAAGATTCTGGCTGCAATTTTGAGAAGGAAAAAAAAATTACTAGTTATTCAGTTTAAAATYACCAACGATATTTTGTATTGCAAATTGTTGACAGCTTATATTGGTGCAATGTACGGCTATATAATTTTAAATTACATCTACATCTTAAGGTTTGGAAAAAATATTAGCCATGTTAATGTYCCCAAGCTTGAATCGAACCAAAAATTAGAAGTTATACATTTAAAACAAAAGGGCTTGTGTTACCATCTCCTAAACATCATTTTGTACCTCTTGATTATCATCATAGATGGGAAAGATTTGGCAAACATCAGATTTGAAAGATTTGGTTCCAAAATGCTCAGAATTTTTTTATATCAACTGTTCTCTACATGCACGGCTGGACCTCTGCCAATAAGCAAGGAAGAAAGAGAAGAGGGTGCAGAGCAGGGAGCTGGTGAGGGGCTAAGCCTCTCTCTGCTCCAGTAGCTCCAGGAGGGACTGGCAGGTCTTGTTTCATGAATCTCACAAGAGGACTGAGTTAGGAGAGAAGGAACTGGGAAGAATATAGCTCACGTTAGCATGCCTGGCTGCCAGAGCAGTCAGGGGCCTCTGAGGGGCAGCCCAATTATTGCATCTCACGAGGAAAGGTAGGATTTGAGGCAGGTGTTTAGAATCCAAGTCCAGCTCTCTTCTGGACACACCAACAATGAAATAATTTTAAATGAACTTCTGGGTAATTTCTGCCTATTCCACAATACCTAACAGTCTCTGAATTCTCAGCCACCTTAAAGGAGGGCAAATTGAACCTGGGCCCTTATGAAAAGCAGCTCAGGARAGGCCTCAGATCCCCTGACTCCCACTTCCTTCCACAAAGGATTGAGATAAAGAGAAAACTTGGCAAGATATAGTGATGGGACCCTGGAGCCTCCCATGCCCAGAAAAAGAYTCAAGAAATGGGAAGCAATCAATAACACCACATTCCTTTCCCCTCCAAAGRTAGTAAAAAAATAAGATCCCATTCCAATTTTTTAAAAAATGAAGATAGAAAAAAACTGAGGCATTCAGTTCCCATAGGCTGGGTTTTCTGTGAATCACACACGCCCGCAGTGGAGCCCAAGCTCTGAGACACCAACTCCAGCTGTCCATCGGCACCACTGCAATGTCAAGGAACTTCAAGACCCTGCAGGTACATTAGTATTTCCCAAGGCAGCAGGACTCCTGCAGGGAAGCTGTGCACACCTCAACTCTCATTTCTGAACAAACTGCCCTGCGAGAGGCATGAAGGTGCTGCCTCGCCCCGTAAGCGGCCCTGAGGTGGCCACCTCTGGTAGCCTCTCACRTGGGATGGCTTAGAAAAGCGTTGGTGGCACTGGGGAGGCAGTCCACACTCCAGCAAGCAGTGACCCTGGCGGTCACTCAGCCCTAGTCTACACAGTTTAATAGTTACCAGCGAATAACCCCGGCATCCACTGATAAGGGATGTTTTCTCAATTTTGAACTGACATTAAACCATGTATAAYTGCTGGAAGAGTCATGGGAGGAAAGAAAGATTGCAGAGTGATATTCTGAAAATGAAAGGTACGTGTGGAACATGAATTGCTTACGGTTTAAGAAGTTTCCAACATTGTTCTCTAAACTAATTTTGCTTCTTTATGACACTGCATTTTTCTCTAGTAATAGTCTGGTTTTACTTATTCTTTCCATAATAGTTGTGACACGACAGTCGTAAGAAYGTATTCTGTTTAAGACAGCACTCAGACCTTGCATTTTCTAAAGTGTTTTCATATTTTATTTCATTTGATCCTGACAACAACTCATGAATCAGAGAGGGCAGATGCTGTCCCCATTTTGTACAGAAAAAACTGTAGGGAAGCTGGTGGCAGTGCCAGGGCCCTGATGCCAGCCCTYGACCCGTTCCATGGTCATTCTACACTGCTTCCCTTCTGGTTTATTTTGTGACCTTTGCTTGGGAAACGGCTTCCAGGTCATTGGGGCACAGACTGCCCTGCTCTGCCTGGTTGGCTGAAGTTTCTGTCCCACCAGGTGCACCTCCACTCTTGGAGCTGTCATTCTGCCCTCTTTTTCATCACCTACCCATGCACAGCCATGCCACAGCCACCCCTCCTTGCCTGAGTATCTTGCCTGCCTGTGACAAAATGGTCACTTAACAGTTCACCAGAATTACTACTAGTCACCACAGCAGGAGACATTCAGGAAGTGCAGAGGGGTACCCTTGAGTACAAGAGAGAAAAACCAGAAAGTCTGGTGAAAAGGAAGAGAAAGAAGGAAGAAAACCTGTCTGTTCACACCTGATCAGAGTAGAAAAAGAAAGAACATTTTTCAAGAAAAATGTCAAGAACTGTTACTGGGTCTCTTTCCAGGTGACACACACATAGGGAGGGGAGCAGTACTGACTGGACTCAGCACCTCGGCAGACCCCGAGGGCTGGCTGCTTCTGGGTTGGGAGACAGCAGATGAGGTACAGGTCGCACAGGCAGACCATCCATCCTCGCTCGCTCCTTCAGTTCTGTACTGCCTTAGCTCTGCTCTCCCCTTATCCTGTGACCCCACTAACGTGGAGCCTCAGAAGGCAAGAGTGCTGTCTGTTCTGTCTACTGCCTCATGGCCCAGTGCCTGGCACAGAGGACTCAGCAGATTCCTGACAAAGAAAGGAAAGGGAGTCACAATTGTTAATCCCTGTTTGATGTGACAGTACATATCAAAGTCCCTCTAGAGGGGACAGCAGCTCCCTGCAATATACATGGCTTACTTTCTATCCTGATTAGGTTCACACCAAGGGTCAAAAAGTCCCCCCAAAACAGGCTTATACAGAAGTAAAAAGCTTTCATGATACCTTAGCCTTATCTGAAACTCAAAAGTTGGTCCTGTAACTTTCAAATTTTTACATTAAAAAAAGGAAATATCAAGGGGAAAGGAGCAAGTGGCCACTGCATACCTTTGCCTTCGGTCTGGCTGTCTGATTAACAGGTCTAAGATGAACTCCCTTCTTAATTCTATCCATCATTTCTTCGACTGCTTGTCTCTTCAGATCCGTGACTTCCTCCGCTGTTCAAAGAACACAGACATAAATCATCTTAGGTTACAAGAAAACAGCTAATTCCTATCTTTGGTGACTGAAGATTGCACTATGTAATTAATCACAGTGATTTTTCAGACAGTTGCTGAACATAATAATTTACTAAAGTTAGCAGTCACCAGGTAGAAATGGTTTTTTTAAAAAAAATTCTTAAAAGATCTGAAGAGTAAAACTTATACCGATTAAGATCAAATTTGTAACATGGAAGTAAATATTGTTTCACCTAGGTTAAAGTAGATTTTGTTCATTCATCAACATAAGAATAAACTTGGATATCTCTAGGTATTTTAAAAATGAGACTTTGTCCCTTTCCAAATAATCATTCATCTTTTCCTCAAAGTTCTTTTTTTATAAGTTACAATACATTCTATGTCAAAGAAATCAGTCCAAAGCCTATTTGAAAAAAAGATCAAAGAGATGTTTTTCTTGTTGGAAGAAATCCATAGTCAAAAGATGGATAGCAGAGAAATAAAATCTATTTTTAAACTCCCACCTTTTGTTTASGAATCATGTGGAATGGAAACATTTAAACAAACTTTTTCAAGTCTTTTAAAAGCTCTTTATGTTAAAGAAAAYATACAGCCAGCAATAATTGTGATTAGGTAATTAAATGTGATTAAAAATTTCAACTATTATCTAACCTTTGAATTATTTTGCTGCAAAACAAATAAACCTGTTGAGATGTATATCAACTAGATGAATGCAACTGAGTTTAGCTTAAACCTGTTGATTAAACCTCTCTCTTGTAGAATATCTTGGCCAAAAGCACAGAAACACTTTGGAACACTTGTCACCACTGATGTGGTTCTAGAAGTTCTGTTTATCTCCATTTAACTCAGCCAATGTATTAAATTGGAGTGTCTCTTGAGGACCTTCTAGTCGGTGCCTTCAGTAGATACCACACTGCCTGACAAATGGTACTTGACAAGGACTTAACTGACAGATGACCTCTGAAGTTTTGGCTTTAACTGGATATTAATATKTTTACTATTTGAGTGAAAATAACCCCCAAAGGCTGGCTTCTAATAGGAGGAGATCACACCTGTACCCTCCAGCAGATTGGCACTTGTGTTAGGCCTTGAGCCACAGAGGCCTAAATTTTGGCTGGTGCTTTTGGAAAGGTCTCAGGTTAACTATGGGTATTCCTTCCTCATATAGGAGTGCCCAGGGGAATAGTGAGGGAATCGGGAGGTCCCCCAACCTCTGCAGCAGCACAATGACGGCATCTCTGCCACACTCACCATGTCATGCAGGCTGCTGATGCACTCCTCACTTCAAAGAGCATTTTGTCATCCTAAGAAGTCACCAAAAAGCTGGGAACTAAAATTTCTCAATATCCAAATAACAATTTTCCCTTCAAAAGTCAAAATAGTATCTTTATCAGGCAACATGGGAAACCTGGTCACCAAAGGTAGAACACATCCACCAGTAAATGAAAAGTGACAAAACTGCAGGCCCATCAATCATGGGCCCTTAAGGGCATCTTCTTCCAATAGTCCGCCAATACCATCAGGTGGACAGACAATACATTGCTATGGGTGAAATTTCGTTTGTTCACCGGCTCATTCATGTGCTACCTGAATCTCTATTGTACACTCTGGTGCTTTTGCTGACCCTGTTCAAAATCAGGWGAGATAAAACCCACATCTGCCATGAGTATGAGATTCATTCCTGGGAACTGAGAAAATAGCTACAAAACACATTTGATTTTTCAGAGAGGCTGCCATTTTGAGTGAGACTGGGAAGAGCTGCGTGGCAATAGGAACACCGCCTACAAACAGATTAGCACTCTGCAAGGAATGACTGAAACCCAATTAAATGCACCATACAAAAACTAATTAAGGCAGACAGATGGAGAATTATGGTCAACACCATTCAAATCTGCTACAGCATCTAACATAGCAGGAATTTAAAGTAGTTTCTTATATTTGCTTGCCAGAATCATAGTGATAATTCAGAGAAGTGCCACTATCTGTATTGTGTACAGATTATAAACCAGGCTTTAATTTCTCAGCCTTTTTCAAATGTAAAAGCTTAATTGGTCTTAAGGAAAAGAAATCGCTCTTATCAGATTCCCTACTCAGGCGCAACACAAGGGCAGAGCTAGGCTGGCTGCACAAGCTTTCTCTCTCACAGACCCTGTTTTTGAAATCGCAAAAAGCAATCTATATGAACTTCTAAACTATTAAGCAGTTCTAATAAATTGGCAAGAATCGCCTACAGAGAGCTCATGGTATGTTTTGTAATTCTTTCTGCAATCACGCAGTTGGTAATTGTCTCACAAAAGCATGTAATCAGTGGGACAATAGAAATATGCAGGATACTGGAGATTAAAGAAAAGGGACAAATGAAGACAACAGGTCTAATGTTATTGAACTGCCACAGGAAAATAAAATCAAATGTTCTTTGAGTTAGTGCTTCAAGGTCAGTCTTGGATCAGAAAGCTACATGTAATTAATTGGGGCTTAAATTTTAAGACCCACTTGAAAAATAAGTTAGCTCCTCAAAAGAAAATAAAAAAGAGAGGAAAAAAAMCCCCACAGATGAAACCATCACCTTGTTACTCAATAAAATCTTCTGTTACTACCTAGAAGAAGCTAAAATAAATTTCTAAATCCCACAGAATTATTTTTCTATTTTGCTAACTTTCTTTTAAAAAAGAAAAAAAAAAAGCCCTCATGGCATTATGCCATGATGTACAAAATTTCTTAAAAAAAAAAAAAAAAACAACCACATTGTGGCTGAATAAATTTAAATTTTCTGTAAAGTCACAGAGTTAAAGAAATTCACTTAACTACAACATTGCTAGAATCTACTGAAATCAGCACTTTCCTTGTCTTCCCATAGAGCAGGTGCTATCTTGCCCATTTTCCTTAGCTACCATTTTGAGTGTTGTCTATGTGCTGGGTCCTACATTTTTCATGTTATGAGACCCAGAAATCCTCAGAACAACTCCATAAAATAGGAATTATAGTATTTCTCCCTTACCTACAGGAATGTGTTCCAAGACCCCCAGTGGGTGCCTGTAATCTTGGAAAGTATTGAACCATTTGTATACTATGTTTTTCCCTATATATACACACTTCTGATACAGTTTGAATTAGGCATAGTGAAAGCCTAGCAATAATAACCAAAAACAGAACTATGTACCAACATAATGTACTAAAACTCATGTGAATGTGGTCTTTTTCTCTCCACTGTGTTGGTAGCATATACAGTRTGGATACACTGGGAACATGAGATTTCATCACAGTACTACTTTAAATAAGCAATTTAAAACTTATATTTGTTTCTAGAATTTTCCTTTAATAGTTCCAGACTGTGGTTGATCAAGGGTACCAAAATACAGAAAAGTAGACTATAGAAAAGAAGGACTACTGTACTATTATGCCTGTTATAGAGATTAGCAAGCTGAGTCACAGAGAGGTTAAAATAAAATCAACAAATTAATTCCTGAAATATATCATAAACTGCAGGCATAACTTTGAAATCTTAGAATTGACCTACTAAATATTCTTGTAAACAATCAGCGCTATTAATTTCAAAGTTTATAATAATTTATTTTACTCAGATCTTAAAACTACAACTAAAATATTCCACTGGCCTAATTTATTACCAAGCTTTCTAAGGGAAAAAACCTAGGAATTCCCCACTTATAACCTGAAAACCTTATCTACCAAATTTTAAAAGCCATCATACAGTACTGACATAAGAAAGAAAACACAGTGATAGTGTGACAGTCCCTACATTATAAATGAGAATCCCAACATGTCCCAGATGATCCTAACATTTGATGCTCTCATTTGTTCACTGTATATTTAATAACCATGTGCACAATTAAGGAGACACTATCAGTAACCACTCTGCCAGACAGATAGGATGCTGCTCCGGCCACCTCTAGCTACAGTACATGTCATTCAAGCTGCATAATTTTTAGGTCTCTTCATTGCAAAAATCTCATGAGCAACTTCTGTGTCAGTAATTATTTAAGATTCCCAAAATAACAATCCAATAGCTCAAGGATATGAGAGGAAATACTGCCACATTTCATCAATTGTTAATAAAATGTCATTTGCATGAGGAAAATACTATGGCTCCTGATGCTGAGGGTTAAGAAGTTCTAGAATACGTTTTTTAATTAGAAAGATTTTAAATTAAAAATACTTAAATTTTTTGTTGACATTGACAAGACAATGTGATCTATTTTGAAGGAAAAAACATTCTATTCTGACTGCCCTCCTTGAAAATATACTAATTATTCCCCTAAAAATATGAAAAAAAAATTCATTCCTGTGTCAGGCAAAATCAATAGCCCGTAACTCAAGAGCAGAGCTGCCCTGGAAATCACCAAAAGCCTCAGGACTGCTTAGATTCCTGCAATGCCTCTTGCAAAACAGAATTTGCCTCAAAGTCCCGTAAACATGCAGAAGAACAGATTCCAAAGGGCAGCAGGAAGCAGGCATAGAAAGCCAATTCCCAGAGATGAAATCAGCTTTCATTTGTTTTGGTGTTGCAAGGTTCCTGATCAGAAAGAAAAGACTAAATCCAAACCCAACCCATTCAAAAGCATGAGTGCTGTCGGCAGCTGCAGAGAAGAGTAAACCTGCAAAAAGCTTGTAATCTGCTCATGGAGCAGACAAGTAACTGGAAATATCTCCAACACCAGACTCCAGAGTGGAAGACATTAAATACTTAAAGGAAAAGAATATGAAGTCGGATGGGGAATGTGGCTCAGTGGTACAGCATTTTCCTGGCATGCACAAGGTCCTGGGTTTGATTCCTGGCACCACCAAAAAAAAAAAAAAAAAATTAAAGTGAAATGTTATAGTAACTCATACTAATGAGCCATTCATTTGTATTATTAATACTAATTAGTAGGAAGAGGAGAAGGAAGCTCCTGGAACACACAAGTAATCTATAGGCAGAATATAAAATGTGAGTTCTGTGCTGGTGCAAGGAGAAGCAYGTCATAAAATGTAGGACAACACAATTAGATCTATGATCAGAAATTGTCACACTATCAATGACATGCAACAGCTGGCCTGAAGTGGGGAAAAGAGGTTCTAGAAGGAGCTCATGTGTATACCTGGGCTCCATCTAGGCAAATGCTGATGCTTTCTAATAGGTCAGGTTCTACAGGCCTAAAGTGATAGGGACAGAAGTGAGTGGTGGGAACAGGAGGCTAAGGGGATAATTCCATAAAGTGGGCCTACTGTGCTGATCTCTACATGCTTTCTTTTCCAAAAATCAGTTTACCTGCAGCCCTATCTGGCTTAAGTGGAYAGTATATATCACATTCCTCAGCAGACTACCTGTTATCTGCAGGAGAAAAGTAGGCCCCAAATAATGTTGATAGAAGGAACCCAAGCTGGGCACGGCAGCACATGCCTGTAATCCTAGCAGCTCAGGAGGCTGAGACGGGAGGATCATGAGTTCAAAGCCAGCCTCAGCAAGAGCAAGGCGCTAAGCAACTCAGTGCGACCCTGTCTCTAAATAAAATACAAAATGGGGCTAGGGATGTGGCTCAGTGGTCGAGTGCCCCTGAGTTCAATCCCCAGTACCAAAAAAAAAAGGAACCCAAGTTACCCTGAAGGGGGAGACTTTTGTGACTCTTTTCACAGATCAGATTCCAGAGCTCAAGGATATAAAGATAGTTCCTTCTAATCATAAAATCTGTAAGAATGTATGGTTAAGAATCCAATTAGAACCAGTCAGCATGGGCCAAGTGACCCAGAGTTGTCATGGCAATGGGGACTTGAAAGTCTGATGTCATTCTGCTATCAGTCACAAGTCAGGAGGTGGACCTGGGCTGGACTCTCTGGAAACTTCTCTGGAATTCCCAATAARACTAGAGTTCAGGAGAGGCATGCTATCCCTCTCCTGAGAGGACGTCTCCCTTGATAGTGTCCCCTTTCCCTTTTCCTGTCCCTCAATAAACTCATGCTTGTTATTCTGAGTTACACATCTGTAATCTTTCTGACTTGATCACAAAAATCTGAGTTTGAAGGAGGGCCTGTGTGCTGCCTCAGTTTCCTGGAAGGCCCAAACCTTAACAAAAGGAGCAAGGTCTGGCCCTGCAATTTTAAGCCTTTGCTGTCACAGTGGCTGCCCCCAAACTGCTGACAGCTCTGTGCATCTTCTCCCTCCATTCTGTCTACTGGTGCTGTCTTCTATTCCTCCATCTCCAATGACTTCCAGAGTCCTGTGTATTCTGCCTCTCTCAGCAGTTCCTGAGTTCATCCATCATGCCACCAACTGATCAAAGCCACCGTCAACATCCACCTGAATGGCTACAATCTCTTCTTGTCTATTCTCATCCTTTACAGTCTATTCTCTGTTACTTATTGCAGACAGTGATTTTTTTCTTAATTTAGAAAAGACAAACCTCATCATGTTACACCCCTATTTTAAAAGTTCTCCTGCTCTAGGGCTGGGGTAGTGGCTCTGTGGTAGAGCGTTTGCCTGGCTCGTGTGAGGCCCTGGGTTGGATCCTTAGCACCACATAAAATAAATAAATAAATAAAGGTATTGTGTCCAACTACAACTAAAAAATGAATATTAAAAAAATAAAAAGTCTCCTGCTCTTAGGAGAAACTCCAAAATCTTCTCTCTAGCCTCCAGAATCTGGCTCCTGCCTACTGTCAATCCTCCTCTTGGGCTCCCATGCTGCAACCTTAGCAGTGCTCTCCTGGTTTTCTAGCACACCAAGCTCCCACCTCACTTTGCAGTTTTGAACATCCTGCTCACTACCTGGACTGCACTGACCCTGAACACCTCACCCCGATGTCCTAAATGTATGGCCACTCAGCTTGAGCATCACCTCTGACACCAGAGGTCCACTCTATAACCTCCAAGAAACCTGTACTCCTCCTCCACTGTACTCGCCAAAACCTGTATTTAAACAATCACATATTTGCACAGATGCTCACTTGTTCATACTATGTGTAGTCACAGTGGAATGTGACTTTTATATCTTACATTTCCAGTACCTGACACTGTTGTAGTCCACTCTTAAGTCCCTGATAAAGTCCCATTCGCTTGCTCTCAATTCTACAAAGTCTTTCCTCTAATCCCTCATTTGGGATCACTGCCTGTTACACCCCAAAGTACTTGGTTTTTAATGAAAACATATTTCCCAGTGTACCTTCCATGTGCATKCACTTATCTCCTCCAATCAATCGACTGCAGGAAGGCAAGGACAGTTACCTGCTTCGCTCTTTCTTTTTTTCTTTTTTTCTTTTTTTTTTGGTGCTGGGGATTGAACCCAGGGCCTTGTGCATGCAAGGCAGGCACTCTACCAACTGAGCTCTACCCCCGGCCACCTGCTTCACTCTTACAGCTGCTTTCACTCTTCCAAAAACCTGTTCACAAAGTCACACTATTCATATGACAAATGTGTGAACTGTTGAAAAGTTGACATCACCAACTGCTTAAGGTAACCCAGACAGACATGATGCTTACYTGTTTCTGGTGGAGTTGCCTTTTCTTTCTTAGCACCACTGCCACTGGGGTGGGACCGTTTCCGGATCATGGACATGAGGGATCTTTGGTAAAAAGAAAAAGACCAACAGATCTTACTGGAGATTATTATGTACCTTACGATCCAACAGATAAAAATGTACAGATCCTAAATAATCAAAGTCCAACTCTTCTGMAGATGCATGAACACAGAATTTATGTAGTCTACTTTCATTTTTGATACTGTTAAATTTTTTCATCTTTTTGAGGGAAAGAAATATGTCTCATTTCTTTCTGTGCAAAACCAAAGTAATCACCAGAGGAAGGGACTGCTATGGTTACTGAGACAATGCATACATATTTACAAAGGAAAACAGATACAGGAAAAATTCACTATGTAAAAATTCATATGTAAAATTCAGAAATGGCTATCGATTTACTACATTTTTAGGGAAAAAGAAGAGATGAGAGAATTAGGAAATGTTTCATATAAAAAAGCAATATATGTTATCAATAAATCTCTACTTGTCAAATATTGGCATAAAAATATCTGAATCTATATGCGATAGACCAACTATTTAAGGATAAAATATATTTAGACCACTGTTTCTCTAGCCTATTTTTAAAAWGTATATAAAATTCAAATTATGATAAATTGAACCACATTAAAGTTTTAAAACCTCCATGTGTTAAAGGATATTATAAGGACTAAGAAAGACAAGTTACAAAATAATTTTTTTTARAAATCAATGAAAACAGCAGACAACACAATAAAAAAATGGACAAAAATATTTAGCTACTATAGAAGGACATCCAAGTTTCTGATATACAAACAAGAAAGCTGTCTGATTCCCTTAATTTTTAGGGAAACAAAAGTTAAACCCATACTGAGATATCACTACTTGCTCATCAAGTATGAAAAAAAAAGTAAGTCTGATAAGATCAAGTGTTGGTGCTGAAGAATTCTCAAACCACAAGGGTATATACACTGATAGTGCCATTTTGGAAAATGGGCATTATCTGGTGGAGCTGAAGATGTACATATCCTGTGATCCAGAGAATCCACAACCTCAGACTTCACAGAATCGAAAGCAAGCACTTGTGCTCTAGGATACATGTGCAAGAATATCACACTGAATTTCTATAATTCCCTGCACTGGTAAGGACTCARATGCCCATCAGCACCGTGATGGATAAGCACCTTTTGAGACATTCATCAAGTGGATTACATATCATGCACAGGAATGAACCTCAGTCACACAATATAACACGGAGAGTCAGAATCTATTGTGGTGTAAGAAGAGGAAGACACAATGGACATATGAAAATTCCAATTACACAAACTTCAACAACAGGCCACACTGATATTTATAGTAGTATAGAGGCCACTGGGTTTCAGAACACACTACTACAAAGTACAGCACCCTGGCATGCTTAGTACTTTAAACTGAAGGACACTGAGATGGCCCTGGAGGGTCTCTCTGACCTTCTGCTGCCCTCCYGTCTCCCGCCCCTCTTCTTCTCCCAGAAGTAGGTAGGACACAGAAACTAGCAATAATACTCTAACCTTCCCTGGTCTTTCTATTTAGGAACTGGCCATAACGAGATCCTCTGACCTACTTGTCTGACAGTAGGCCATGACACTCTCATTCAGAGGGGTCCAACCTTATCCTCAAGAGGAAGGAATGCTACAGAGGCCAGGAACTACTGAACACACAGGCCTTGCTGGGTCCCTCCTTGGCCTACTACCATTAGCTCTACCCCTCCCTCCAGTCTCATTTCCATGTGGCTGGCTGTTCCTCCTTAAACCTAAGCATATCAACAGTTTCCCCTAGGTCTTTGGGACTCTACTCTCAAGACATTTGTGTCACATAAGTAAAATGGTTTTGCTTATCTCTTGTTAGCCTGTCTTTTGTTAATAGGAGTGTCAGCAGTGACCCTTACCACCAGTGAAGAAAGGTAYGATGCCTTTCTCTATCCCTACAGGACACATATGTAGACAAGACAAAAGTGCATTTAATAAAGGCAAGAAAATTATGCCTCTGTGCATCACCATTTCAACTTCACCATATCAAGCTTCAAACAACTGTCACCCTACATGGAATTATTCAGTGGTGATTTCTACCTCGTAGTTCTTCAAGAACTGTTCTTGTTAGAAGTGGAAGACACAATATCCTATGAACTATGGAACATGGTATGTCAACCTGACTGGGCCAGAGAGTGCCCAGATATTTGATCAAAGGTGTCCTGGGTGTTTCTGTGAGGGTGATTTAAATGAGATTAACATTTAATTAATCAGAAGACTGAGCAATGAAGACTACCCCCCCTGATGTAGGGGGCCTCTTCCAACAGTGAGCACAACAAAAATGCTGGCCCTTCCCCCAGTAAGGAAGAACTGCTCCTGCCTGACAYTCTTCAAACTGGAACATCAACCTTTTCCTGCTTTCAAACTTGAACCATCACCACGTGCTGAATCTTGAGCCTGCCAGCCTCTGGAATGGATCTATGCCACAGGTTCTGAGGGCTCCAGCCTCAGACTGGAACTGTACTACCATTCTTTCTCTATGGTCCCAGCTTGCTGACTCCCCTACAGATCGTGTGACTTATAAGCCTCCCACAACTATATTGGACCAGTTCCTTGTAATGAATGACTGACTCTACTTGGTCATGTGCCACATAACAATGTTTCAATGACAGATCACATATACAGTGATGCTCCCAAAAGAGTATATTATTGCCTAGTGACATCATAACCATCTTAGTTAGTGTAAGTATACAGCATGATGTTTGCAGATTGAAACTGTCTTAATTTGCATTTTTCTCAGACGGAATCTCCATTGTTAACAAYACATGACTCTGTTTATAGCTATTGACATCTACATCTGTACTCACACCTCCTGCTGGGTCTGGAGAATTCTAACTAATGTACCCAGCCCTCTCCCCAGGAACCGTACTTGTCCAGGACCTGTCCTTCCTACATTCCTTGTTATTTAGGTCGAGGGGTTCCCCAAAAGCTCCAAAGTGAGACAATGCAAAAGAGTTTAGGGGTAAAATGATGGGATTATGAAAGCCTTCACCTAATCAGTATGTTAATCCACTTGAATATTAACTGGGTGATGAGTGTAGGGAGGTAGGGAATGGCTGGAGGTAGGTCACTGGGGGTGTGCCTTTGGGGCACACATTTTGTACCTGGTGAGCAGAGCTCTGTTTCCTGATAGCCATGTCCTGAGCTGCTTTCCTCCTCCACACCTTTCCCCTGATGTGCTGCCTGGGACCAGAGCCATGGTATCAGCCATCTAAGGGCTGTCACCTCTGAAACCAGGAGCCCCAGAGAAACTTCTCTTCCTCTAATTGTTCTTGTCAGGTCTTCTGGTCACAGTGCCAAAAAAGCTGACTAAAATACTCCTCTGATACAAAATGAATAAGGTATGGCTCTTCCTCTTTCTCCTAAAAGGTAATAAAGCCACTTAAGCTATGGGTCTTAGCCCTCAACCCCCAACACACTTTCCCTTCTACCTATTATCTATACCAGGGTAAATAAAGCACATGGCTCAGGAACAAAGTTGGAAAACCTTGATTGACAGGTTTGAAGTCCATCAAAACGTTTAAAACACATGCAAATATGTTTCTTTGACAAGAAAGTATTTCTCATGCATAAAAAATTTCTAAAAATTATCTCCTCTACTATTTAAACTCATCTTAAAATATAAGCCATTCATATTATTCAATAAAAATTGTATTGAAAGAGGCTTATGAAAGAGTTCATGTCTGAGATATACGAAGTCCTGAACTTATATCCATTTCTCAGTCTATTTGTAAAGTACTCTTTGGGGGAAAAAAAAATCTATTTAGGTAATACTTTACTTTTAATTCTAGGGGCTCTCAACATTTCTGAGACTAAAAATTACAGGCCAACAGCAAGATTGTAATTGCTTTTTAACAGTTTTCCCTCCTCAGAGAAGTGACCTTTCCTATCAGCTCAAAATTCTAGACCTTAGAGTAAGATCAAAGAGATGAATGTCTAATTTTAAATGTCAAATTTGGAATATCTCCTACAGATTTAGCTACCCAGGAGAGAAAGAATTTAAAATACCTGAAATTCTTTCAATTAACTCTTGGATCGATCACGTGTAAAAATTATTTAGCCTTAGCTACTTCAATGGCTTCAAGTAGATTATGTCATCCCCTACTCAGTAAGGAAAAGTAATGAGAATCTTTTTAAAAGGCAAAGTTCCATTTTCATAGTCATGTGGGAGGAACATGCTACACATTCTATTCAGATGGATCAGCAAAGGTGCAAAGCAGGAACAAATGGCCTCTCTGTGTGAAAGGATTAAACAAATCGCATGAGTTAATGAAAGTTAAAAAATCTTGCAAAAGTTTAAATACCATTTGTTCAGGAATAAAGTACACAAAGCACCTAACGCTGTGGCCTGAGGAGGCAAGTGGTCACCACTGCAGGTAGGCTGTCTTCTCTAATTGTGCATGGCAGTCTGGGGAACCACAGAGGCCAAAAATGACTCTAGATCTCCTGAGCCCATGATGCTCCAGAGAGGCCCTTCACTACCATCATGTACCTTGGTCTTCAGAAACAGTGAATTCCTGTCTGCATATGTGATTTCCTTTCCCAATAATTTAGGTGTAAATTATTTTCCTTATAAAAGGTTCCTCTTTCAGCCTTATTCAAAATTTAAATGTGTGGCTAAGGATTAAAAAGAACAAGTACTTCCAGATTAATTACTAGTTTGTGACAATTAGTGGGCTTAGGTATTAGCTCAGTACTTTTATTTTTAAAATAAGTAAATCAACTACAACTTTTWAAATTCAAATTAGTGAGAGAAAATGATGAAAATATCCTGGAAACATTCCTTGGTCCTACAGGAATTTTACAAAGAAAATCCCAGTGCAATGGAATGAAATTTTTAAAGTGGACTATCCAAGATTAAAAAAGCAAGATTCTAGATCCTGGGTTTGGAACACCCACAAGGAATCTCAAGGTCAACAACAGATGAACACGTTGGCCATGAGAACTTCTTTACCAAGTGTTTGTGTTTTTTTTTTTTTAAAGCCAATACTCTACATATTACAAGGAGGGAATAATACATTGGTCTTTAATTTTTCTCCCAAGAGAAGCAACCGTCACTCTTTTACGCTTTTTACCAACCCTGTCATGATTCAGTATAAGCTGGTGTTCAAAAGAAAAAGGTGACCACCAGCACTGCCACAGCAGTCCCTTAGCACTTACCGGATGGGATTGGGCGGAGGAGGGGGCAATGGTGGTGGAGGCGGAGGTGGAGGAGGGACTGAATTTTCAGACTGGTTCACCCGTTTCTGGAGTTCATCGACTGCACAGAGGCAAGCATTCAAAACAGAACAGAAGTAAGCAACCTAACATCTTTTATCCATGTAGAAGAAGAAACATGACCTCCCTCAAAATCAAGTACTTTTCACTGAGGCAAAGTTAGAAATTTCAATATGAAACTGCAGGCATTTTAAACTGTTCATTATCTAGTCTATCACTAAGACGAGAAAGGTCTTCCATCTGGTACAACAAAATGGTACAGTCTTTCTCCTGCATATGCAACTTCAGAAAAAAATTCAAACTAAGGGGTGGGAAGTAAGGATTGAGTAGGTTGAAGAAATATTTGTAACAATGGAGCGCATACTACTGGAACACTAAGAAATTGTTAATGCTTGACTTTAAATGTGTGTGGATCAAGAGTTACTTTTAAAGATGACATTTAGTGATGGATTTTAATAGCTGCATACTTCTCTCCTCCGCTTAATTTCCTTCAGAAACTTATTGTAAATGCGAATGTCCTTGATTTTAACCAGATTCACATTCCTAAATGCCTGTAACTCAGAAACTTTCTGCTCTTTTGAAGAGCATTCTGGAGATATAATGTATTCATTCCATTCATCCAAGTCACTAATGAGACACATTTATTAAGGACCCACAATGTAAAAGACCCCATGAATAGTGTTATTGGAGACATAGTGTTCCTGGCTTTAAGGAGCTCAATTTAAATGTATATCAYAGGGCTTGAGATGCAGCTCAGTGTACAGCACTTGCCGAGCAAGCCCATGGCCCTAGGTCCATCCTCAGCACTGAAAAAAAATGTTTACATACAGATGCTAATCCTGTCATATGGGTTAATGGGTGACAGATACCACGGAGTACTGTGTGCACCCAGAGGTAGAGCATACTGTCCATGACTGACTTCTGCTTTCCCCTACACACTACAATAGGCAGTGCGGACCAAGCTCTCGACACCAAGAATCCTCTAGTTATTCCCTGTGCATGCCTCACTCTCTTTAAAGGGATTCTGAGATCATCAAAGACAAAAGGCATGGTTTCTTTTCTTCTGTATATATTTTTTTATATCCTGGAGTAGGACTGAGTACACACACAGCAGATTCTACATAAAAGCATTTAAATTGAATTTAAATCTCTGCCACTTCCATTCATCATAAAGATGGCCTTGGTTACTCTGCTATTTGCTTTAAAGAATGGAAAAATTCTTAATTTTGGATCAATTTTTATAAAACAAATTGCAATCAATTTTCTCTGTGGATTAAAAAGCATTGAATGTTTTTAAAAGGGGAAAAAAACCTACATGGTTCTTCTGCAGATTTCAAAATTCTAGTATAAAATTAACCAAAAGTATCTGAAGCGAATATTGAAGCTGTTATAAAGCGAATAGCCCTGCCTTCTTAAATTACCCACCTTCTCACAGAGACTTAGACTTACGTTGCGTAGTAATCCAACTTGCACATTCCTGCTAAGCCTTCCAGCCCTGAATGAATAAATCCTTTGATTTAAGCATCCCCTGGTGCTTTAAAAGTTTTTCCATTTAATATATATATTGTTGCCCACTTCATTGTTAGGTGTGGCACAGGAAGTATTATTTCAGRTGTATAATTAGACACCGAAGACAAATGGGAGTATAAGCACCAAAGATGAAGGTATTATTTTTTAAAAGTTTAATTCYTTTTAAAAAGCACTCTAAAATGAACAAAATAAAGTACTTAATGAACACTCATCTCTGGAGCCCTGAGAAATGCTGACATTTTTGGTCTCCCCAYGCTAATGGCATCTTTAGGTCTTAATTCTGTACGTGATGTTCACAAAGGCTCCGTGTCCCAAATTGAAGTCTAAATATGTGTGAATGACTGGATTATAGACACTATTCTGCTGAATGGTCATAGTTAGAAATGAAGGGATTGAAAAACAAATTTTGGCATTTTTCTATTCAGTATAACTATACGCCAGGTTTTGTCCTTGGCATGAGATCCACAGGTGAACAGAGAGAGAGAGGAGCCTACTCAACAAGTTTACCAGAGTGCTTTAAATTTCTGGCCTTCTCCTCAGAATTCTGGTATTTCAATTCCAGTTCCTTCTTATCTTCTTCTAGAAGCTCCAGTTGCTGTTTGAGGTTATGGATCTCTTTGTGCAGTGTCTCATTTTCTAGTTGTTCCTCTAATTCTTTGACCTGTAAATTAGAAACAAACAATGTGGTTGTAAGTTTTCCTTTGTTGACAAGTAGGGAATTTTCATGTGGCTTTACAGAAAGATTGTAACCCATCTTAAAGTCACACAAATTCTGATAATAAATCATTACYGGTTCTTTGATTTCATATAAACTTACTAAGGAGTTATATACCAAACACTTAAATTTTTAAATGTGAGTCACAAAAGTAAAATAATACCTAAAGTAGATTCATATACTTTCATGCTCATTTTCAAGATAAAAATTCAAGTAGTAGCTAAAAAGGTCCCTGAGGATCACAATTTGGTAATAAGTTAAAAAAAAAAAAGTTAGGCATGATGGTATATGACTATAGTCCCTGCTGCTCAGGAGACTGAGACCCCATTTCAAAAAAAAAAAAAAGTAAAAGAAGAGGAAAGACCCAAAGGCCTTTATGATCCAGTAATACTTCTTTGAGGAATTAAAAAAAAAAAAAAACTCAAATATACAAAAATGTACAAACAGATTCACTAAAATGTTCCTTATAGCAGCAATGAAAGGCTGGAAATTACCTGAATGTCTACCAGTCTCTCTACTGATTTATGATATCAGGATGTGTCATTAAATGTAATACTATGCAGCCTTTTAAAATCATATAACTTACTATATACTGAAAGGTGAACTGAAAAAAATCAGGTTATAGAAAACTATGCATGGTATGATTCCATTTAAAACACACACACATATTCATTAAATTGTCTACATATAAAGTTTAGATATGCACCAAAATATGATATTCTTGGGTAATGCTAAACTTTTCTATATTTCAAAAATTTATTATTAATGACCATAAGCTATTTTTATAATTGCAAAAAGAATACAGCTGTGTTTAAAAGTTTTTACTGATTTTCCTAGGGAATTTGTCAAGAAGAAAGAAATATTTTAAGCCACATACATGAAAGATTATCCAAAATAAATGTTCAGTATAACAACTGTGGAACAAGTGATTGCTACATCATTCCTAACTCTTATCTAACTTCAGTATCTCTACCTCTTCCAAAACCAATTTAGTCCTGTATTCAGTTCAAGTCTGTAGGTTGCAAGCATGTATTATATACAAAATAAACTATAAGTAGTTCAACTTTTCAGAACCAAAGGTTAAATTCCAGCACAAACTGGGCTTGGTGGCAAATTCTTGTAATCCCAGCAGCTCAGGAGGCTGAGGGCAGGAGGATCTCRAGTTTAAAGCCAATCTTGGCAATTTAGCAAGACCCTAAGCAACTAGTGAGACCCTGTCTCAAAATAAAAAAATAAKAAGGGCTTGGGATGTGGCTCAGTAGTTAAGCACCCCTGGGGCCCCTGGTTTCAAATTCCAGTACCAAAAAAAAAAAAAGTGTGTGTGTTTGCGCATGGGCACATTCCAGTATAAGCTGAACAAACGCATTTTCTCTCTCTCTGTATTTGAAATCATGGAACAGGAAAAAAGAAATTCCTTCTCTCCCACCTGTTCCCTAGTCCTCTTTCCCTGGGGGCAATCGCTGTCACCACCTGTCCACCAAGAGGTTCTCCATACCTAGGCCAACATTTCTTACTGAGGAAACAAAACATCAGCCAGACCTCACTACTACCTTGGGGAAAACTTGAGAAGTTCCAAGGATTACATGTCCATATTGTTGCTCAGGGAGAATTTGACAGGTGAATACAAACAGAAGCTCACAGCCTTTCCTCACTGCTAGGTACATTGTAAGTAGTATAAATATTAGTGTGATTTTCCTTAAGTAGCTCCTTTAATTTGCAAGTCTTTGTTCCACCTCATTCCTGCTCCTTCTCACCAACCACAATGACTGTCCTCTCTGTCCAGCACAAAGGTCAGCTGAAGACCTCCACTTGTGCACTGAAATAACCACAGAGGAAGACTTTTACACATATCCATTATGCTGCACAATCAGAAATTCTCTAAGCAAATCATTACTACTAACATGGATTTTTCTTTCTCTCCCTGTTTGAATAAGAACTATGCCCTGCAAGCTCTGTGAGATTAATACACCATCCTCATGTATGTCATCTCTAAAAACCAGTTAAGTTCTTCTCCATCCCCCCTCACCCCCCCAAAAAAAAAGATTTCTAGACTATGCATCACCAGAGACATTTTTTAATCATAGCTCTTTCCCCTTGCTTCTTCAAGAATATTCTTCAATGACTGTTTTCAAGATCTTTATAAAGTCTACAAAAGTGTGCTGCAAGGCCAAATGTGGTAGTGCATGCCTCTAATCCCAGTGACTCAGAAGGCTGAGACAGGAGGATCATGAGTTCAAAGCCAGCCTCAGCAAAAGCAAGGCACTAGCAACTGAATCAGACCCTGCCTCTAAAAAAAAAAAAAAAAATACAAGTGAAATCAGCCAATCCCAAAAATAAAAATACTKAATGTTTTCTCTGATATAAGGAGGTTGACTCATAGTGGGATTGGGAGGGAGAGCATGGGAGGAATAGATGAATTCTAGATAGGGAAGAAGGGTGGGAGGGAAAAGGAGGGGTCAGGGGATTAGCAAGGATGGTGGAATGTGATGGACATCATTATACAAAGTACATGTATGAAGACTTGAATTGGGTGTCAACATTCTTTATATACAAACAGAGATACAAAAATTGTGGTATATATGTGTATTAAAAGAATTGTAATGCAAAAAAAAAAAAAAAAGAATAGTGCTACCTTAGATTAGGTAGAGGGAATTGAAAGGAGGGGAAGGCAGGGGATGTGGGGATATGAAAGATAGTAGAATGAAACAGACATTATTACTGTATTTATGTGACTGTATGACCAATGTGATTCTAAATATGTATACTAGAAAAATGAGAAATTATATCACATTTATGTATGATATATCAAAGTATATAAGTGCATTATACTGTCATGTATAACTAATTAAAACAAATTAAAAAAATTTAAAAATCCAAAAAAAGGCTGGGGATATGACTTAGTGGTTTAGTGCCCCAAGTTAAATCTCTTGTACCCCCTTCCAAAAAAAAAAAAAAAGTGTGCTACAATTTCAATTGGGCAATAAATTAATTCGGTAGTTATTCTTTCCCAAAAAATGATTGGAAGGACTTAGTAACTAAGGTCAATATGGAACTATAAAAGACTAGACTGACTCCTTTCATTTTAATATGCCTGTGTAAGTGTGTGTGTGTGTCTCAGCCCCCATAATAAAGTCTGTTACCTTTTGCTGATGCTGAATTCTCTCTTCTTCAAGTTGCTGGGTAAGTTTTGCATTTTCATCTAAAGCTTTCAAAAGCTGCTGGTCAGGGACAGAGCTCTGAAGCAAAAGGTGGCTTTGTCTCTTTAGCTTGTTTTGTTCTATGAACATCTGCAAAAGTTAATTACAAAAATATACATACCAACCAATTCCACACATGTCCTCAACTGCAACCTAAGCAACAGGAAAGTATTCAGACATCAAAGGGAAGTCCTGAATTGTATAACAGTCATGGAGGAGGTGACTGCTAAGATTTCATTTCCAACAATCCTCATATCTTCATCTGCCTCAAAGGGGAAATATATGCAACAATCCTACCCCTTAACTGTCTAATATTTTATTATTGCCTTAAAATACAATTACTGTCATAGATAATATCGAGAACTTCTCTTGTGCCAAATACTCCACAGAGTATTTCACAGTCCTAATTTTAATCCTTACATCAACTCTGAGTTAAATACTTCTGATACAAATAGATAATCTTTAGTAAATGCTACATGATACCCATAGTTATAATCATTACATTATCTAATCCTTAGGCCAATACTGTGAAGTAGAGACTGTCATCCCATTTTACTGATAAAGCAACTGAGGATCAGAGGGGTTAAGTGACCTTCCCAAGGACACACATAAATAGCAAGACCAGGATTTAAATCCATATCTGTCTGATTTACAAGCTCAGATTCCTAACCACCTGCCTAATGCCTGCTATTTACTAGAMTTAACGTTTTAAGAAAATTTGTTTTCCCTTCCAGTGATGAAAGTAGTTGACAGTAGGAAGACAAGGGGAGAAGGGAGTCAGTATCCTATTTGCTGAGCATTTTATAAACAACTTACACTATTATTCATCTAATTCTCACAACTTTACATGATTGAAAACATTACTTTCTATTCACCTATTATTTCTTTTCCTTAATACCATATCCAAGTTGGCCAGTGGGTGATTCCAAGCACAAAATGTTTCACAAACTCTGAAATCTCTAAACAGTCGAGTTTCACACTTTCAGATTCTTAACAGCATCTTAAAAAAAATATTTTGACTTAATGGTAAGATCTGTATGTAAAATGACTTTCTGTACAGCACATATTCGTTTGTCCAATAACTTCCATTTATCATGTAACAGAAAAAGTCAGCGAATAAAATTCAGGACAAACAATTACTTTCTATCAACCTTCATATGGAAAGTCCACAGCTTTAWTGACCAATGCAAACCTTAAACTTAATCCCTGGTCAGTACTGATTTCCAAATCAAAATCCAGTTGTGAACACAGTATATTAAAATGCTCACACTGTCTTCCCATTAAATCTTCCTATGAGGAAGAAAAACTGTCTGAAGCCAGCACTCTTTGCCTGTGCAGGATTTATGAAAAGCTCACTCAACTCTGACAGTGTAATGCAAAAACCAGAACTCTGCAAAGCCAAACAGGTAAATCCACAATTATACATAGTATGTGTAATCTGCATCCTTCCACTTGACTCCTCACCTCTATAGGAGTAAGCATGAGTGTGCATGTGCACATGCGTGCAGGGCTAGGGAAGAAGGAGCCTAGAGGCTTGAAAGYCCAGAAGAGTAATCAATAGTTCATRACAGTACCTAGAATTTTAGACCAATAGTCTAACTAAAGAAATTTATTTCTGATTACCATTACTATTATTATAATAATTTCCTTCTTATACATTTCCCCTCTTGAAACATAATTAGCTGGGCTCCTGGGGCCCACCTCAGAAAGTGCCTCCGGCAGTCAGCAGGAGGGGCCTGCAAACAGCCACTGACCTGGGGTTTCCTTCTACCAGGTGTGTTTGGGGCCAAGCCAGCAGGGTGACCACCCAGCAGTAAAACCAAGCAGGCACAAGCTGCCCATCAAGATAGCAGGGCGACAGCTTTGGACTTGGCTCTCTCTTGGCAAAAAGGAACAGTGCTCCTCATCCAGGCAGCGCTCTGGAAAACTGTTCATGATCGCCTGAGTACAACCACCTCAACTGCRTCATCAACACATGTGACATCGAGTCAAGGTTGTTAATAACATGAATTCCTTTTGCAAAACCTCACACTAATCCCTGAACAGTAGTATTGTAAGAGGAAGACATATATAGAAGATTTCCTTTAATAATAACTTGAAAAAAGCACTCAGTAGACTATCTTCTCTGAACTTCAAGATGCCTAAATAAAAAATTACAAATAAATCCTCTTCTAAAAATAAAAAATATTTCAAGAGAATTCAGTCACCAAACACTAATGAATTTGATTTTCAGCTCTGTAAGAACTTGCTGGTTCAAATCAGGAAGCTGGTTTCATTTCAGATGAATAACACTGCAGGAATAAGAATTTCTGAGAAATTTTATAAATCTTTTCAAAGAGTAATAATGAAAAAAAATCTTATGTTGTTAATTTAATTCATTCTTTTCAAAATAATACTCAAATATCTAAAGTATTCAGAAAGAAAAAAGAATCATGTAACAGTCTCATAGTTTACTGGGAATACAGGTAGAATAAAGCATCTGTATCTTAGAAAAGGAAAAAACTACACTGAAGAGCAAAAAAGAATTTTTTTAATTATACAAAAGTCTTGTTAAAATTTCTGAATATGTTGATGAAATTTTAAAAACTTAACACAGCTAAGAAAACATCTGACTTTTTGTTGAAGGGAATTGTATTTTTCAAATGAACTAGTATGAGTAGGAGCCATTATACATTTGAGGACTGATTTGTGTTTTTTACAAGTACGAATATCCCTTTTGCAATTAAAAACATAAAGTAAATAAACTTTAAAAATTGATTTCTAGGCTCGAGACTCTAAGATCCAAAAGGGCAGAGCTCATCTTGCTTTCTTCAGCATTTGATCATCACGTCAACAGCGTCTAGTGCAATCAGATCTGCTACAGGTACTAAGAACAAAATGTAAAAGAGGGAGACCCTTGTGCTAAACTAAGCCATGTGTCTCTTAGCAGCAACTGTCTGCTGAAAACCTGAAAATCTGCAAGCCATGGGCAGGGGAAAACATACTGGCTCCAGTCGAGCACTATTTTTTTAAAAAGTTTTCTTCTCACTATTCTGTAGATCAACGCTAGATGTTTATGCCACCAGTAACATAAGCACCAACCCTGTGGCCTTCCCTCTTCAGAGGTCCTCCTCCTCACTCCAGGCTAATACAGTGCAGCATGTTCGCGCCCCTGCTAGAGCATAAGGCCCAGCAGCTGAATGGCTGAGTAAATCATTCACTTCCAAGCTCTTGCTGTAGTCTTGCTTCTCCTATCTATCTCCTCTGCTGCTGCACCGCCTTTGAGTTTTCTTTGAGCTGCTTTGTATTATAACATCATTTTACAAACAACACATGGAAAATTGAAAATGTCTTGAGATAAGACCCTGGCATCTGGGTCAAACTCAGTCTTTCTTTTTCAGTTTTGCAATGGAGGTGTCTTTGCATTCTCCCCACCCTCCCACCCCCTCCACTGTTTATCTGGTTGCATTATTTATTCTGCTAAAGCTTTTCCACAGGGCTCTAACACACTTCAATTCTGTTTTCCTTTCTACCAGTAATAAGAACAGTATTCACTCATCTTTCATTAAACTCTCTGAATAAAATGAATCATAATATTTCAAATCAGAGGTACTTGGAGTTAACCCTGTGTAGAGTTCACTGCTAGCACAGCTATGCTCAAGCACAGAAAAACCCCCCACACAAAACCGTAATCTCATTGTTGAAACATCATTCCCATAAAACCCTGTCTTCGTCTACAGCCTTGATTCCTCTCCCTCGGTCTGTTTCACACCTCCTTAGCTTTTTCCTTCACCCCAGGTTATACACACAGATACAAAATACTTAAACAACTTGGAGATCTCACTGCAGATCAGCTCCACACCATGACTTGAACCAACTAGCGATTCCTCATTCCCCTGGAAACTATCCCCAGAGCCAGGGGACACCCAATGACTGCATATCAACAGAGTCAGGACTAGAGAAGCTCAAGGCGTATCTCTAACATGAGAGGAAAATCATCACACTGGTGAGAGGCTGAGACGATGGAGGTACAAGATGGTGGTGTTCCACAGCCAGTGGAAGAATCAACTCATGTAGTGAGTGCAGCAGAGAGAAGCTGGAGAGAGAGGAGGATTCCGTGGTACTATTATCTCAGATGACAGGTGGACTCAAGCCAGACTTCTCATCACAAGTGATGGGTGCCACTAAATGCAATTCCTTCCTCCCATAGAGCACTTTATAGTTTAAAAAATACTTCTTAAAAATCATGCCATTGGGTTCTAAAATCTTTTTGGTTCAGTTTATGTATCAGTATCTATTTTACAGATGGTGAAAGTGGACTCTCAAAAGAATAAGGGTTGTTCTGAAATTATAAGACTAGTATCTGACATGGCCAGAATCTGAACCCAAACCTTCCTGCACCAACTTCGGTGAACTTGATACCATTCTCTAGCTATGTCTTGACCCMGGTACTCCTTATTGCAAACTGGTAGGTTTTTATTTAACCTCAAAAGGTGTTTTCCTCCTTATTTCTAACTGATACACAATAAATGTGCATATTTATGGTGTACAGTATGATAACCCGATACTTGTGTATGTGCACATGTGTATGTATGATGATTAAATCAGGGTAATTAGCATTTCCATGTCCTTAAMCATTTATCATCTCTTTGTGCYGGGAATCTTCAAATGCCCCTCTTCTAGTTCTTTATAAAATATATAATAAATTGTAAACTATAGTCATCCTACTGTGCTGCAGAACCCTAGAACTCACTCTTCTTAATCTGAATGTATTCTCATTCTTTTTTTGTGTGTCATCAGCAAAGTCCCTTGAGAAACAAAAACAAAACACCAGGTCTCCGCGAAATACCCACCTCCTGTGCAAATGACTCTGCTTTCTTCCGGAGGTCCTTCTCCAGCTCCAGGTTCACTTGCATCTCCTCATACTCCTCCACTGCTAACATGGACACTTAAAAAGAGGAGGAAAAGTAAGACTGTGTGCCATACAAGTTATCAGGAACACAGACGGGAAATGATGTGGGAAAGAGACTGAGGCCTACGGGACCCTCATCCATTCCTGCCTGGCATGTAAATTGATAAAGGCTTTTTGGAGGGTGTCCTGGTAATGTGATTCAAAGATCTATAACTATTCATATCTTTTGATTCCACAATTCCACTTCTGGGAATGCACATCCTGAAAGAATAAATCACATATACACACACAGGCATGGAAGCAAGGATGCTATGTGCACTATTGCTGAAAACAATGAAATCATCTAACATCAAAGGATCAGCAAAAAATTATTATGCCACCAAAATTATAATATTGCAAACACAGAATTAGTGAATGAGAAGACATTTATGRTATATATTTTAAAATAAGTGAATTTCAAAAATTAGTGCAAAATTAATTCTTCTTTTTAAGCCACAGAAAACACATCAACAGGCATGTCACAGGACAGGAAGCATATAAAAAGTCAATAAACATGTAGAAAAATGCTCACTGTTATTAGGCATCAGGAAATGCAAAGTGAAGTACTTTTCTTTACCGAAAGAAGAAGAAATTTGCAAAAATTAAAGTGTGGATATCTTGTTTGGGAAGGGTACAGAATGAGATCAGATATACTGCTAAGAGGAGTGTAAAATGACATCTATTTGCAAAATAATCTGGCCTTACACAGAGAAACTGAAGATAAAATTTTACATGTGGCATATATATTAGAGAAATAAGGAGACATGTATGAGAACTTTCATAACACGTAACTTAGAATAGCAAAATAMTGGAAATAACTCAAATATCTGCAAAAAGATCAATGCATAAGTGAATTCTGATAGGGTCATCTTGTGGAATATTAGGTAGTARTGAAATAAATGCCCAACGTGAATAAATCTGCGGAGGTTATAGCAAAATGATTCCGTTATAGCAAGTCCAAAAACATGCAAAATTAAACAATGTACTATTTAGGGATACATATATATTTGGCAAAACTATTAAATAAGAGAAAGAAAAAGATAAAATTCAACAGAGGGGAATAAGCAGAGAAAGATGGTTATGGGTTTGTCAGGTATTAGTAGGTAAAGAGAGATTTCCTTTACTAGTATTCTCTTCCATATATATATTGTAAACATATGTAACAAAAAACTTAATGGATRCATATGTTTTTTAATTAGAAGAATATATTCTACTCCWGATCATCCTGTGAGCTRCTTCCCTCTGCCACACTCTTCCACCATGATGTTCTGCCTCACCTCAAGCCCTGAGGAATGGAGCCTGCTGTCTATGGACTGAGAACTCTGAAACCGTGAGCCCTCAAATAAACGTTTCCTACACACTCACACACACATACACACACACACACACACACACACACACACACACACAAAACCCATATCCTAAAATGTCAATAGTGCTTATCTCTGGATTATAAAGTTTCCTTTTCCTAGAACAAATTTAAATTTTCTACCAAAAAAAGTGTTACCCAATAAAAGGAATATATATGTGTGTAAACACACACACACACACACACGCACACACACACACATACATATTTTTACGTTACATATAAATTTTAAGTTATGTGTGTATCTGTGTGTGTTATTTTCAAGTGTTCTCTATGTTTACAATGAAGGGAAACAGCCTTAAAGACATCCAGGCCCAGAGGACCAAATGATTCCACAGGACAGACGCCTTCAAGAAGAAGGTCCTCTCAAATAAAAGTGACGCGCCTTCTTTCCTACTCTTGCCATTTAATGGCCTACTTTGTTAAATAACGGCACAGACAGAATGAAGGGGATAGTAACGCCACTAGAATTAGGAATGACTCCTGGCACCACCCAGTTGCTTCTGGTGAGGCACCCTGTCCTGAGCTGACTCATGTCACTAAAATCCTTCAAAAGGCCCTCTTAATGGCTGCTTTCACTCACTTTTCCTCAGGCACTTCAGTTCTAACTGACTAAGGACGGGTTTGCTGTGTAATGACATAGTATTTCAAACTCCACTCTGTAAATCTACTGCCTCCTCAGACGAAGGACGAATAGTCTTACTCAAGTAAAGTAATGTAAGTGGTGGTTTGTGGTGTGAATTATAGGTCCCCGAGAGCTAAATGATTTTTAAAATCTATTTAAGAAAAGAAATTTTGTGAAGAAAACAAAGAAGACTACGACTATCTGAAGCCCTGGGCAAGATAATTGACTCTTTTCTATGTCCAGAACACTATAATAAAAAGTGAATTTCCACATGTCCAGGTCCCTTTGACTTGGATTCTGAAAGAAACGAGGTTGGTCCTGGTGCTGTGTTTATTGATAGCCGCCTCTCTGCCCACACGGGGGGCTCTCTGAAGGCAGGGCTGTGTGATCCACCTCTGCAGAACCCTGTTTCCAGCGCAGAGCCTCAAGATGGCAAATTCCTCAATACATTTCTACCTACAAATGAGTCAGGACCTAAAGAAATGCTACCATCCAATGCGTCTCCCACACTTAACTACCAGGTCTTTTGTTTAAAAATCCCAGCTGATAAGTGGCACGGATTGACAGCTGTCACCAATGACAATGTGGAAAGCCCTAGGTCTGAAAGACTTCCTGTTAGTGTCTCAGCTTCTAGAGTAGGAAGCCAAGTGGCTGGGGGTGGGGGTGGGGGAGAACAAGAAGCATACTGGGGTCTCTGATACGGTCTGCATGAGGTTTGCCACCCAAAGGTTCATGGTCCCCGATGTGGTGGTATTAAGAAGACCCTTAAAGAGGAGGGGCTTAGCCTCAGTAATTACCTCATTGTGTCTCATAAAGGAGCAATGTTGTTCTCACAGAGTAGGTGAGTTCTCACTAGAATGGACTGTTATTAAAAGAGCAAGACTGGTCCCTTCCTCAGCTACGGCTTTCCATCTTGCCATGTGATCCTGCCCTCTCAACCTGCATTCCCACCATGATGCCATCCATCATGCTATGACTCAACCAAAGGGAGCCCTCACCAGCACCAAACACATGCTGTGCCATGCTCTTGAACCTCTCAAACTGGGAACAATAAACATCTTTTCTTTCTCAAGTTTTCAGCTTTTGGTACTTTGTTACAGTAATGAAAAATGGACTGACAGAGTCCCCTCCCTTGGAATAAACTTTCTCCATATCTGTACTTAGCATCACTCCCTCAATTGGGGACATAAGCAACAGCCCCCAGAAGACTCTTACATTTTACAAGAGTGATATGGTCACTGTGACAATTAGAATTACACAGTTTTCCTTGGAAGTAGTCACTGGAGACATTGTCCTCTCACCATGAGACCAGGTCTGACTTTCCTGGTCATTAGTTTGTTTTTACTAATTCGTTTAAATGGTTATGAATCCTTCATGACCTGCAGCTCAGAGCCRGATTTCAGACACAGACATGAGAGCAAGCATGCATCCACTCTCTACATCAATTTATACTCTCAATTCCCCTTTGTTCCATTTCCCATCCTCATAACTTAAAATGTTATCTCTTTGCAAGTAATCACTGTAGATGTCCCAATCTTTGCACTGAGATTCAYTAAATGACTTATCAAATGCATAAATGCAGAAGTGTCAGCCCAGATGACTGTGGTCCCAGGACACATGTAGGACAGATGTGGCATTTATGTCTAAAGTTGCAAAACAAGTAGTTTCTGAGCTCCTCAATGAAACCACTTTCACATGCCCCCAATGACAAAAGAGTGGGAATGAAAGAGACCCACTGCTAGGAAAACAGTCCAGGAGATTTTGGACTGYGAGAGTCTTTAGGCAAAATGACACAAAATACATGTAAACAAAACAAATGACACACGCGGTGGGTCGAGAAGAAAGACTGGAACGACATACCTCTGTTGCATTTTTCTAAGACTTTTCTCTGTTCAAGAACTTCTGAATTTAAAACAGCCTTTTCTTGTTTAACTTTATTTACCTAAAAATGTAAGATTTTGAGGGGAGAAAACACCCAACATTGTAAAACGAGACATATGGCAACGTGTGATTCYCAAATGGCTGTTCAGTTTTCAACACGGAGTTTTCAACAGGAAGCTGCAGTGCTARGCGAGACGGTAGGCACCGCCAGCGCTGTCCCCACAGCTTCAGAGGTGGCTATTCAAGGACGATCCCTTGGTTCCTAACTCAGTCATGCTGGCRCCAGCACCAGTTTCGAAAGATGACCATATCCTAACCCTTTAATGTATSTATTTTGTATTTTTAACACAAAAATCTAATGATGGGTCACCCAGAAAATACACAAATCATTTAGTCAAGAGATCCAATACTCAATGAGGGGAGGAGTTTTGAACTTTGATGACTGTTTTCCTTACACAGAATACACATGAAAATATTCTCCCCCAAACTTAAATGTCTGAAAGAACATTTGACATCCATCACCGCTCAAATACATTAAGCAGGTCTGTTTATGTAATCTAAAAATACTCCAAACACTATGGATTGTACTAAACTTATAAATGCAAATGGTGAGCACCAAGTTCGGGGGAGCTGGGCAGGAGTGAGAAGAGGCAGCTGGAGAGGCACCAGCTTCCTCACTCGCCAATCTGTGTGTGCTTAGCCGGGCAGCAGGTAGAGGATGCTCGTTATTGTGCTCGTTGTACCTTTTCAGATGTCTGAGACAGTCACAATAAAAATACTTTCTGAACTGTCTTCCAATGACACCTCTAGGAGGAAGGAGAGAGAATCATCAATAAATGACCCCCACTATGGTTTGGGGGGCAGAAGAATGCATTTCCTGCCCCTCTCTGGTGGTGACTCGACAAACAAGCCAGGATGAGGATCCTGAAAGCAGCCGTGAGTCCAGCAGCACCTCCAGAGAGACTGTGAACCGGCATCTTTTCCTAGAAGCCTTACTTTTGCTTTTTGTCACTATCCAACAGGAAAGTCCCTACACAAGTATAATCACTCTTCTTCCCATTCATTATAATGTCCTGCCATAGTGAAGGACAAGCAGCAGGGCTGGGAAGGCTGGTGGGTACTGCTTCCCAATCTTTTTTACATCATGGCCTTCAAGGAACTGGTGATATATGTACAGGAATGGAGGAAACTGGGGAAGGCTGCTCGCTGGTGGGATCAAACCCTGGCACGTTTGGCAGCCACCTGAAGTGCTGTTGCCCATACACTGCGAAATTCTTGAGCTACAGAATCTGAGAACCAGAGACAAGTTAAAACCATTTGGTGAAATTAGACTCTCAGCCTCGAGCAAATACAAGGCAACTGTGTGGTCCTGTTCTTAAAGACACCTCAAAGGGACAAYAGAAAGAGTCTCCAAATCCCTGCTTGAACCCCCTCTCACACCTACCCTATCTGCCTGTGCTGGAGGGACACAAAGGGACAGCCCCCTTTAAACGGAGCCAGACCATCCCACTGGAGAAGCAAGATACTCTCTTCCTTCTTTGCCAGAAGCAATGAAGTGCGTGACCTGAAACCGCTACCATTCTTACAAATCTGCCCCATGTAAGAAAAAAAAATGGGGACAACAGGGAGCATGTCATGCTATCTAGTATTGCGTCATTCAGCTAGGTAATGGGTACCTGAACGTTCAATGACCATGTTTCCTAACCCTTTTTGTATGTCTGAAATGGGGCAAAGGAGAAGATCAAAATTGTTACACAGTTCTTATATCAAAAATTAGCTAGCAATACCAAGTGTCTGATATAGTCAATCCCAAAAAAAGACTTTTGGTTTGAAAACACATAAGGCCTTGCCTTTCAGGCCTAAGATACGTACTTCTTCAATTACTTCTACAAGTTTGCTCTTCAGATTTTCCAACTCAATGGCTAATATCTTCTTTTCCTCCTGAACAGATACAATTTGATCTCGAAGCTCTGCATTTTTAAAGGAAAAAAAAAAGAAAAAGGTTTAAAAAATAAAYAAATAAAAYATATTCAAAAGAACTGAAAATGCCAGCCCTACAGCTTATGATCAAGGTTATTTTGCAAAAATAAGGAAAATAAAGAAGCAGAGGACAATGGGAATCTCACCTGCATGCCCCACCCCAAACACTCCTGGTTCTATACCAGGYGATCTCACCATGTTAAATGTACCAAAGTGAGTTTTCTTTGCAATTGATCAAATCCAAATTTGAGAAAACTATCCAGCAATTGGGAAGTTAAATTTCTTCGGCTTATGCTTAATGCACCATACTAATTTCTTTTTTATTTCATAAAGACCATGTCTCTTGTCACAATACAATATAAACAAAAAATTGGGCAGTTAATAATTTGGAGATTTGATTTGAAGGAAAAAAGTCCTGACTTCCTGCCAATTTATAGACCATAAGCATCATTCCAACTGACTCAAAAATGTAAAGAAGGGTTAATTTTAGTAACTTTCTCTCCAGAGTTGTGGGTGCTTCATTTCTTAATTTATTTCTACTTTTTATTATTGTGATGTAATGATAAATAATGCAAATATTAGCAACTTTAAGTACAAAAGCTTCTGATGTTAAAAGTTACCTCTGCCACTCAAATGTTTAAAAATACACATGGATTAGCACAGATTACTTAAGTTTTTATCCAGGCCTACTGTTTTGCCACTTGTTTTTAATTGCTTTTAATTTCTTATCCTTCTCTGAGGGCAGTAAGAAACCTGCTATGTGGTTATTTATAAATTGCATTAAACTTTGTACGTGGACCCAGCTTGAAGAAGTTCTCAGTGATTCGATTCTAAATCACCTTCTCCACTGGCTGGCTAATTACCAAGGAAGAACATGAGACCATATTGCTCAAGACCTAAAGAAAGGAGAATAATGAACAAAAGGAAATCCTTTAAACCTCCTCTCCCTCTCAGCCAGCATCAACTCTATTTTGTCTTGGGTTAAGAGGCTGAAGAGTCAGGTAAAGCCAGGTAAACCCTTCCACGTTTCTACCTGTACCTGAAATTTTATCTACCAAATAAACAAAAGAGTAGTACTTCTGAATGTGTACCAGGTTAAAATGCTCTGATAGTCATTAAGCCAGAAACTGCTTTGTGACATCTTTAACAGAAACAATGTGTGTGTGTGTGTGTATACACATATTATATACATATACATATATGTATATATATAAACATAAATAAAATTAATTTGCACTGMAGAGAAGTCTCCTATGATCTTGACTCTATGGCACTATTTGCTAGCCAACACAGTTGTTTAATACTGAGTATGCTTTTAGCTCATTGCTTAAATCAGATATTCTTAGAAGGCAGAGACTAAGTAATTTAAGGAGGAATCTCCTCCAAAGATTCCAACACAGAACTAAACTGAAAGGGAATATTAACTAAACACATAGACACACACATATCTTTTGGTGCTAGGAATGGGATCCGGGGCATCTAGTGCRCTAAGCTCATACTCTACCACTGAGTCAAACCCCAGCCTCAGAGAAATGAATTTCTATCTTGCATAACACATCTAAAATTCTCTTAACACCCAGTCCATACTCTTATGGATGTGGTCTAACTGGCTGTTTCTGGAGACAACACTCTCAAAGGTGTCAAATTCCAAACAAGAAAGCCACCCATAAAGCATTGGTGCTATACCCTGTGATTCTCAAATAGCTTCTAGGGGTGGGCCTGAGGCATCAGCGGGTTTTTTTTTTTTTTTTAAGTTAACTATTTAGCATTTCACAGCTTCTCACGGGGCTCCAACATGCAGTCAGGGAGATGGAAGCATGCTCGGTAGTGAGCAGGGTCCCACCTTTGATCTGCCTCTGACACTGCACTGACACACAKGTCTCCGCAGCTCCGTCTGTGTCCCCAGCAGGGTCCTCCTCGTCAATGTTTATCTCCTCGGTTATGACATCTGGTCCCAGCTTGGCCATGTACAACATGCTGATTCTTTTCAGTGTTTTATTTTCTTTATTTAGCTAAGAAAAAATGCAAACATAGTTATTTTAACAGCAGTCAAATAATTATCTTGGGTTTTTAAACAATAGACAAATTAAGCAGGTTTTTGTCTTGCATATTCACAACAGTCACAGCAGGACACAGGATTAGCAGATTCACTAAACAAGGTTGTGTTCACACGTTTTAATATTAGATGTGTGACTTTAAGTAAGAACTGGTACCTGGATTACAGCCAGCAGCAAGTGGAAATGCTAGTCATGACCAAGAGGAAATACATATAAGGAATTAAAACACCAGTATTTCTAGTTATTAATAGTCTTAATATACATTCTTTATTTAAAGTAAATTTTCATCTTGATGCTGTACTGAAAACACCTCTTAAGTGTCTGCTTGCTTAAATCCTTTCTTTTCTGGACATTTCCACTCATCTCCAGTGAGCATGTGATTTCTGTGGGAAGACTATACATCCCCAAAGCCTTCCCCAGCCATTAGCCATAGCTAGTAAGTCCAGAGATGAGACACGTGACCCAAGTTTGGCCAATCAGATCTCTTTTCTAGGAATTTGGAGGCTGGAATAGAAATGAGTTTCCATGTGTCTGGACATAACAGGGGCTGGCAACCACACTCTACTACTGACCTGAGGAAGAGAGAAATGCAGTGTGTTGCAAAGGTGAAAATGAAGCTGATATGGAGAGAGAGACAGAGAAAAGCAAGGAGAGAGGGTTCCACAAGCCCCAGTCCACTCCCAAACTGCTCCTGACTCACAATTGGGATTCTCCAATATTTGTCTCTAACAAGTTCCCATATCTTTCTCTTTTCTTGCTTGAGCTTGTTCAAGATGTGTTTCCACTACCTGTACACAGAATCTTAATAAACCACAATACAAGAAAATTCAAGGTAGTTCCTATTATCTCTTCAAAAAGAGTTCTAATTCACAGCAGTAAAAAGGAATCCTAATTTGTTAATGTATTTGTTATTCCTTAATAAAGAATAAGCAGGTTTGAGTTTAATAACTGACATTGGAAATAAATGAACATAATGTCACTGGGATGCTAGCTTATCTTCTTTATTGTAAACTTGACACCAGAACAAGAAGTTTAGTATGATACACATCTGGCTTCAGCCCATTTGTGATCATAATTTGGCCCTTCTGGGTTTCTCACAGCTCACTTCAGTTTGGAAGATCTGATTCTTATCCCAATAATTTAGAACAAAGTGCCATGGTCTGGAGCCCAAGAGGTTTCCCTAACTTCCCTGAGGAATCAGGAAGAATCTCTTAGAAAAAGCTATAAAAATTCCATGGATTCTTCCAGGRAAGACCCAGAAGCTCTACTCAGGGAATTCCTTTTTCCCAGTCCCTAGTCCCTATCTCCCCATGTTACTCTACGGGATCAGGGATAAGAGATGAGGCCCATAAGCCCCCAACCCCTCTTCCTTAAGATGGAAAATTTTAGGAGACGCTGTCGTGGGTCCTGTGAACCATGAATGCTACAGCTCAGCCTTCCAAGAGGCTCAAGGAATCTTGTCAATTCTTATACTACGACATCTTTTCTGAGTGTGAAACATCAATTTAAGAAGAAATTTTTTAAAATGAAGACAAATTATAACTCTGCCTTCTAATATTTAAACAAATGACTCCCATCCCTGCACATTACAATCTCTGGAGAACAACAGATTCATGTAAAGAAAAAAAAAAAACCCTTAAAAATGCGCTGTAACTTATCCAAGTCTCTGACCACACGGCCAGCATAGTACTGTTTCAGACTCAGTGAATCAACACTGAGCATCACGGATGCAGACTGACAGGATGCCTTAGCACACACGTCTCGAGAACTAATATAATCCTTCAGTGTCTCATTTCTCATCAGCAAACTAAGGATAAAAACAGTTTCTATCCCCAATATGAAGATCAAATGAGATATTACAGATCAGGTTAGAGTTCAGCAAGTGGTTTAGCTACTTCTACTAAAAAAGGAGGCTTAGTTTTTATTTTTCTTTKAAAAATCATTTATCAGCTAGTTTTCTTCAAATAAGGTGTGCATCTATACATTTTATTCTTCCAGGATATTCATTAAAATGCTGATTTTTGCCATGTGGTACTTAATATATTTCTTCCCAGACCATCACAGTACTACTTGGTAACCTGAGAGTTAACAGTTTCTACTCTCAAAAGAGCTTCAAGCCTCTATCAAACCAGGCACTCAAATCCATCAGCTATGGGTCATCTGTAATACAACTACTCAGTAGTCATTAGCTTGAGGGAAAAACCCAACCACACAGCATCCTAAGTCTTCTCTCAAACACCATTTTCATATTTTGAAAGAAGAAATACAAGATTTGCAATGCCTGATGTCTTATGAACATTTTTGAGAAGTCTGTACTCACTGATTTTGGCTAAGCAATTTCACTGCAGCTACTCATCAAGTTACAGATTAACGGCACACTGCCTGTTGCGTGGAATCCTTGTAAGTCATGACCCCCCCCCACCAAATGAACCTATTACTGTATTCAAATTTAAATAGTTTTTATATTGTCATAGTTCAATGAATATTTAAAGAAACAAAGTAAGCAAATTAAATGGCTTTGAATTTYCTGACTTAAAATAATTGGTATACATTTATCAGTTTAGCTTCCACATTTTAGAAACTATCCACACTTTTTTTAAGAAAATTTTGAGGTCAAATTACATTGTAAGAATTAAATATTCCATTTGTCATTTATCTGAAGGCAAAAGTTTAGGAAAATAATTAACTTACAGAAAATTCTCTGCTCAGAAAATGAAGTCTACTTTCAAAAAATGAGAACTGATACTGAAACAGAATGTTCTATTATCACTTAGTGTCACACATAAAATGAAGCTTCCAAATTCTGCTTTCATATCTGCTGAGCATGTCTATAGATTAATAGGTTAATCTATTAATTAATGCTGGATTAATTCTGCTTCTTGATTTGTTTCTCACTCCATTCCCTATGAATTCACATCGTACCCTCAGAAACAAACTACATGTCCATTTTCAAGAAGGCTTCTTAGGATAGGAAACAAGTGGTGTAAGTTAAAAATCCGAGGTGCAAGAATGACCTTAGGGATTAGGCAAGAGTGGTTTCTAAGTGGAGATAGCACTGGATACCTGGCAGCTTTCCAACATACACACACCTGGACCATGCTCCTGGACCAAGGGGATCTGGAGAATGCCTAAGATGACAACCTTGRTCCACACAGACACTCAGAACATTTGGACTATATGGCTCAATTCTCTTGCCAAAGGCTACCTGTTTAATAAAGGTGGGCCATAAGCTCTGCCAATCCTGAGAGGTGACCAGTGTCTATAATCCAACTGGAATTAATGTTAAGAATAAGAGAGAGTATAGAGGCTATCTGTAGGCCCCAGAAGAGTCACAGCGGCTACTCTGCTCTGTATATAATTTTTTTCCCTCTGCCTATTTCAAAAGAGATAAAGGAAATGGTAGGAGAATTCTTACACCATCGTGGACGGGGGAGCTCCGGTGCTGTGGCCCAGAGTAAAAGGAAGTAGGAGCACCCAAGCTCTTGGTGTTTTCAAACCAAGGGCCTTGGTTGCTATGCATCCTTCAGACAAATAAAAGGAGAGAAGTCACACACACACACATTTATGTTCTTAGTTAAGTTCTGATTGAATATCTTATGAATTCTAATGCAGTGTCGTTATGCAAACAATTAAGCAAATACCTCTCGCAAGCACACTGCTAATGCAYACAAATTAAATTTATTTATTTATTTATTGGTGGTAGGATTTCAGTCACATCCAAAGAAATACTCCCGAGGTGGTGGATGTTGGGAGGTTGGGGGAGGAAAAGAAACACAACCAGCATTACTAATGAAATTTGGTTGAAAATTGCTGTAATCCATTTTCTGATGAAGTGGTTCAGATGCATTTTACCCAACCCAAAATACATAAGACAGAGATAAAAACATTCTTTAATAATAATGTACTTCTGATGAGACAGAATATAGAAAATTACACACTTGGTAAATTCATCAGCTAGAGGCAATCAGCAGAGCACCGAGGTCACCTTTTGCATGCCCTCGCTTTGCTCTCACAAATAATCACCTGAAATGTAAGGCTGGAGGCTGGCTTTCCCATCAGTCCCAGCAGGGCCCACTCACTGCTCTTTCATGTCACACCTGGTTAGTTTTAAACTTGGTTAGCACTGAACCAAATGCAGAGATGGAAAGTCCAGCACATTAACAGACTACTCCGGAACCCTGGTCCCAGGCAAAAAAAGCACAACTGTGGAAATACACACAGGCAAACCCTCCTTTTACAATCAAAACCACCTCTGCATCGAGGCAAATATTTACATAATCCCATTCCAGGATTCTGAGACCCGCATCCCTCTCTTCACCCTCAGAATAGGGAGATGAGTGACTGCAGTACTGGCAGAGCCAAACTGGGCAGAAGCCGCTCCCCAGTAAAACAAGCTGAAATCTGAAAACTCAAGAAATATCCCTACCTTGAAGAGAGACTCACCTTTGTGGCCAGAGCTTCAGCGCTTTCTCGACAAGTCTTCTCGATTTCAAGATGGTTCTGCATGAAATTAACTTCCTCTATAACCATGTGAGAAACTAGGAATGAGGGGGAAAAAAGTCTCAGCATTCAAGGATTAGTCAGCTATTCCAGAAGCCCACACATCGTCCCATGATTACAAATACTTCAATTCTTTCTCTGGCTAGCCTTTAGCCATTATCAAGAAAAGTTTTTAAGAAGCTGCCCTGACTTAACTTAGTTCATATTTGAACACAGAAAGAAAAAAAAAAGAACACAACAAAGAACAGGCACTACTCTAACATACATTTAGGAGGTTTGTAAAGCATATATTTTCTATGTGGCTATGGACACTACAGACATATCGGCTAATTCAAATAAAAGACTCTCCCACAAATGAACAGCAGCAAGATGTCTTTCTTAGAAGAATATAACATGTGGATCTAATAAAGAAAATTAGGTAATAAGAAGTAAAATGAAAATAAATCTTAAGTTGACTGACATAACTATGTGGCAGCTTAACTMAGAGTTGTAATATTACTCTGTAAGAGTGACAAGCCAGTCACTGTTATTTCAAACACCAGAGCACAGAAGCATAGCACTGAGATTTATGTAGCATGTGATGAAAACAGGGGTTTAAATTGTTTCTATCATAGGCTATCAGTAGGAATAAGGGAAAAAAATCAAATTTTACTTGATTTTTTTACCAACATTTAAGAAACTGTTTTAGATTTTTAAGTAGCTGGTTTATGTAAATTGAGATTTAAAGGTACAGAGTCATTCAGAACTTGGATTATATTTTGAGGCTCAAGATCAACTAAGAAAATGCCAATTCCACTCACCCACATTTCTTGTTAAAAGAAAATCCCCAGAACCTTACACCTAACTGTAGACATGTATATTTATTGACATTTGTTTGGCTTTAAAAAAAAAATTAAAGGACCCAAATGTGAAACTCAACAAAGTTAGGCAAAAAGCTCTGGGCTCACATAACACAAAGAGAGATTACTTTTGCTTCATTTAAGCTTAATTAACCTGCAATTATGATTAAACTCAGAGGGAAAAAAATTCTCTCCAAATTAAATACAAAAAATGTATTACTTCCTAAGTCTGTCCAAAGTTCTTATTATGTTAATATTCAAATTCATAAAGCAGCACTAAATGGCCAGAAACATCTCTAACCTTGACATTTTTTCAGGGGTAATAATAATCTGCCGCAAATGCAGGCCAACCAAAAACCACTTAACTAATTAGTAGTTGCAGTCACCGAGAAAAACATGAATCAACACTGTTATTACAAGTGGCACATTTGAGTGGCATCTAATTATGACTTGATGAGCACGATACTTGCATTATCAACATTACTACTGCATCCCATCAGGGCCTAAAAGCTGCTGATGGCATTGACTTCGAGAAACTCCCACTCAATGGTACAGCAGCACCCAACAATCGGCTTGGCAGGGGCCCCCCTCACTAAATGACACGTTAAGCGTAATTACTGGTAGACATTGTAAATAAACAGGATTGGAAGTGAAAATTGTACCAAGTGCATAAGACACAATCTGACACATTGGAAGTGGCAGCCTTAATTGAGAGTTTCTTTGACTGCTCAAGATCATTTCAACTGCATTTCTCAGAGGACAGTGATTATAACTGTGGAGACAGACGGCATAATGGTATCAGCACTRCTGACAGAGCAGTGAATTAAATTGTATCTGCTGTGGTGTGAAAGCCTTGATGAGAGGTACAGATGCCTTAGTGGTCTTATCATTACAACACAATGGTCATGTTGTCATCAACCTTTCTGGCTCCAATTGAAAAGAAATGATTGTGTGTTGAAGCTCCCCCACACCACCCCCCTTGTCCTCTTCTATCTCTTGTTCTGAATAGAACCAATTTTCAGAGAGCTATGAAATCACGCAATAGGTCCTAAAATGCAGCTGCTTGGCATACAAACGGGTCCCCATTAAACTGGAATCACACACAATATGTGTTTATGCCAGAAGAACAAATAGAAGCTGAACACAGGCCAAGTTTATTCACACACACAAAGCCCATGTAGCTCTTCATCAATATAATTGCCTTTTATATTGTAGTTTAAATAATAGGCTCTATTATTTCCTTAAAATCCTAATATTCCTGGCATTTTATCACTATGTTTACAAGGTAGGTTCTTCAAAAATGTGAAGGAAAGAGAAAAGAAACCTATACAATTTTTACAACATCAAATATTACTTTGAATTTTTAGCCTTAACTACTTGACATCTTCTGCCACAATCTGGTATTTCTACTCTCATAACAAAAACATAAACACTCTGCATTTTTCATAGGAATTTGACTTTTTATTCAATAACATTCTTGCTCATGAAAGAGTAAGAAAAATCATTCCACAGTATTGAGGTTTAGGCCTAGCAAAGGGGGCGGGGGGCATTTATTTTCTAAGTATTTTGTAAAAGCTGCGCTGTGATTTAACTTGATAGACTTGGCCAAGGAGTACCTGCCCACATTTTCTCCAAGGCTGATGTGGTAGACTCCATCAGGTGGGGTCTTCATTTCTTCCTCAAAGAGGGAAGAGTAGGAATTCTTCATTGTGCTATGATTTTTAGTTTAAGAAATTATCCCAATGCTAAATTAGATAGCTCACTTACCAACTTCCTGGGTTCCAAAGGGAAGAATACTTTAAAGGCCATTTATATTTTTAGAAAAGCAGGACTCCATTTCCAAATGCAAAAGTCAGGTCACATGATATAAAGCAGAAATAGTCTTAATACAGAAATTTATGTGTATCCTTTCAAAGAATGAAAGTTTTTAAAACCTTTAGCTGTCTATTTTTATGGTCCTGAAGTAGGTCTTCTTCCTAACATCCATGATCTACAGCTACCATACCTATGCCATTGCACATTTTAATGAAATAAGGTTTAAAAAAGATAAACTCTAAGAGAATTTAATACTGCAGTTATGCTTTAAAGAAAAAAAAACTAATCTTTTAAGGAGTCCATAGTAAAATAGGTAGTGAGGAAATATTAAAATGATATAGTTACTGGCATCAGTTGTAAAGTAAGAGGTCAGTAGTAAGAGGGCCTGTGTACACAGAGAAAACATGATCAGCCAGGCTGACAACTGYTGACGCTGGACCATGGACATTCGAGGGTTCATTGAACTATTTTCTCAGTTTTGAAAAACTCTGAATTTTTTTATAATAAAAAAAGGCCCTAAGAACTCAATAGTATAACTAAAAGCACATAAGCTGTTATTTCCACCAGTCTAGCTGGATTAGAAAAGTTGGTCTTTCCTCATCTGTGACCTCAAAGCACTCTCACCTTTATGCCACCCACAGGACATGTCACATTGCAGGGAAACGGGGTGGCTTTGTTTTAATTTTTGCTCTTGTCTTCCACTAACTGTGACCATTAAAAGAGGGATTTTTGTTTCACATGTGTCTGGTGCTTTTGAATCCAGCATGATGCTATGTACAAAGGACGTGCTCCTATTTGTGGGGAGGATGGAGTTCATCGTGAATACCCTCTTACAAGAACGTTCCCTGTAGTGGAGAAATGCTTAGGCAACAACTATCATCACCATTTACTGAACCGGATTATGTGTCCAGCCTCGTGCTAAACCCTTTATACCTGTTMCCCTACAAATCCTCACAATGATCCTACAAAGTAGGTGTCATCACARTAGTTTTATATCTGACAACATCAAGGCCTCCTAGTTGTTTAGGAGGCTGAGGAGAGAGGACCTCTTGAGCTCATGAGTTTGACATATGCCAAATCACAGAGTTCTACCAGGAAAAGCCAAGCCAAATTCACTCCCAAGGTGACTCCACTTTTTCACTATCCATTCTAGTTCATTATAGTTAAAGGCATCATTTTAACTACAAGGCGTTGTTTCCTGAGCAAAATTCCTGTCCATCTCCACCTCCCAGCAATATGTAGAAAGACATCTCTGCAGCACACACGGTGAACACAACACAGCTTCTCCTTCAACATCAGACTCCTCAGGAAACAGCCAGGGAGTGGGRCGTGGTGGCGCACACCTGAAGTCCCGGATGCTCAGGAGACTGAGGCGGGAGGATGCTGAGCTCATGAGTTTAAGAACAACAATAGTGAAACCCCATCTCAAAAAAAAAAAAAAAAGGGCTGGGGATGTGGCTCAAGCAGTAGCSCGCTCGCCTGGCATGCGTGCGACCCGGGTTCGATCCTCAGCACCACATACCAACAAAGATGTTGTGTCCGCCAAGTACTAAAAAATAAATATTAAAAAATTCTCTCTCTCTCTCCTCTCTCACTCTCTCTTTTAAAAAAAAAAAGTAACCAACATCCAGGTGTCTATCACTATTGGTCTAGTCTACCTGTATTGACTTTCATATGAATGAAATTATACTATATGTTCTTTTAAAAAAAAAAAAAAAAAAAAAGAACCAGCCAGGAAGTTGGCACACATGTATGAAAACTGGTATGACCTAAAACAGAACCCAGACTCCAACTCTGGGGCTTCAAGTACTTGAAAGGACTTTATTTACTTCTCCTTTCACAAGAATCCATGTTTGCAGAAACATGGCATTGCTCTGTGTAGAAAGACCAGGAGGCAGGCTCAGGGAGAACTGGCAGAGGACCAAGAATGGCATGGAACTATGGATAGGAACATATGTCCCCTAGGAAAAGCACACTGCTCTGGGGCCTGACAAAGGTGTTCCTGAGCCTTACTGAACTGCTCTTCCCACACTTGGAGAGCGAGGCCTGGCCCATGAATATSACAGGGATTCCAGATTTCAACCCTGTGCCAAAAGAAACTTTTCCCCACAGCTGTCCARATGTACAGACCCATATACACCAACTTCCTGAAGGTCAGCAACATGAACTCTTACTACTTAATGGAGTCCTGACATTCTGGATGGCTTAGGAGATAACAGTGGTAGTAGCCACTAACATTCATTAAGCACTTACTATATGACAGGTATAGTGTTAAGTGTTTTTACATAAATTATCTCATTTAATACTTAGCCTATAAAGCAGGACCATTAATCTCAATTTTACTAATGCAGATAAGTATCTACTACATGGATTCACACCAAATGGAGCTCTTCACTGGTGAAAAATATGGCCAAACCCCCTTCCAGATCTGAAATTCTACCTCTGTTCAAAAGTCATGAATTGTTTAGCTCAGATACAATTTTTTAAAGAAATATTTAAGGTTTTCTTATTCCATTTTTTTAACTTTAATTAGTAGGCCTAATAAAGGTAAAAATTAAAGGCATACAACGATACCGACTGTTGTGCTAGCTTCAATTAATCCTTTCAGGTCTTAACCTGAGTTTCTCAGAAGGAAAAAAATGTAAATTCTTTAAACTATCAAAGGTRTTTAGAGGAAGACACAAAGGAAAGGGAAATGGAAGATGGAAGCCGAGTTTACCTGTTACTCAAAAGGCCGAGGGGGGGATTTGCTTCCATTTTTGCATAATGCAAGAAGCAAAATCTGGATCAAAATCTTTTGTGATAAATCCAACCATAGGAAACTTGAACTATCCCCACTGTACACAATACTCCAATCCTCTATCAGTAATTCAAGTACATTAATTGGTAACAATGCCAGTGGGATCACTGTTTCAGAGGTGATGGGTGCCAGCACAGTGTAAGCATATCCCACTGATCCTGCACTAGCCAAGGAGAAAGTCACGTGCAACTGCAATTCATGCATTCACAAGTAAGAGGTATTTCTATCACAGCATACCAGCCTCCCAAGATAGGTTATACCCACAAGATTACCCTCAGATTTTCTTTCTTGTAGTCAGATGCTGAAATAAAGTGGTTATTGAAATTTAACTATAATGCTGCATTTTTATGGCTGTTTTACCTTCCAGAAGTGTCTAATGTTTTGAAGTGCTGTTACCAAGTCAACACTTTATGATATAATCAAATAACCTKACTGAGATAGCATCAGCAGAATGACAGAGAAAGCCTTGGCTTCCAAAGGAAGGGGGTCACTTTCCCTGCTACTGTCTGGCTCTTTCCCGGTGACATATTTCCATCTGACACTTCAGGTCTGATTGGCTATGTTCTATCTTAGGGAATAAATAACAGATTTATGTCACATAAAAAATAATAGTAAAAATTTAGAAGAATATTATTATTACTTTTGTGGGAACATAACTTTCCTTGGTTGGTGAAAACGCTATTTCAAACATTCAAACTCTTAAACATATCTAAGCTCTGTGATCCTATAACTGCTTTTCTCTTTTTTTAACCATTTTATTAAAGCATTAAGTGACATGTAAAGAGCTATATGTATTTGATGTATACAGCCTGATGAGTTTAGGGGCAAGTATACACATCCATGAACCATCACTCACCATTAAGTCCTAGATACATCTATTACCTCCCACAGTCTCCTCCCACTCTATCTATCCATCCATCCATCTATCCATCCATCCACCACAATGCCTCATGCATGCTAGGCAAACACTCTACCACTAAGTTATACCCCAACCCCTATGATTTACTTAGAACACTTAACATAAGATCTATCCTCTTAGTACATTCTAAGTATATAACACCGTATTGTTAGTTATAGCCACAAAGATGCAGAATAAATCTCCAACATAATTCCTTTCTAAGAATTAACCTAAGAAACTAATCAGATTACTATAAAGCTGTGTACTTTGTGTACTTGCCATGACATTAATTATAATAGTTAAAACCCATAAATAATCTATTAATGAAAGAACATGGTACCATTATATGATGGAATGCTATGGGCAACAATTAAAATGTACAGCTCTACCGACATGCAAATGTGATAAAGTACTGTCTACTGAGAAAAGTAGGCCACCAGACCAAATGCAAAATATGCATTTTGATATAAACATATTACACAAATTTTAAAAAAAAACAGGAAGGACAAGACTATAAAATGGTAACATTAGCTTTTCTCAAGTAGCCAATATAACAAAGTAATTTTTTCTCTTTTAACTTTTTGTACAGTAAGATTTTCTACTAAAACTATAATAATAATGCCTTCATAAAATAATAATACTATTCCATTTCTTTAAAGATCACAGTAATATGGGCTGGGAATATGACTCAGTGGTAGAGCACTCACCTAGCACGTGTGAGGATACTGGTTCAATCCTCAGCACTACATAAAAAAATTAATAAATAAAAATAAAGGAAATGTGTCCATCTACAACTAAAAAATGTTTTAAAAAAAGATCCCAGTAATGTCAAGGCACCTTTTGGGCAAATGGAAAGACAATTTTAATTATATATCTCTACTTACATAATACAAAAATAGGTATATATGTATAATAATTCCACTGAAGTGCTTACATACTTTTCTGAAATTCTTCCAGTTTTTTAACAGCTTCATCTCGTTCTTGCCTAATTTTGTCACACTGAAATGAGAAAAAAAAATGTTAAATTTATATCATAAATTTTAAGTTTGGAAAGGTGAGCAAGAGTAAACATATAGGCAGCAACAATTTTCTGAAAACAAAACAAAACAAAACATCTTTAAAAAGCACCAATAGTACAAGATGGCTGTTCGGCTCAACTAGTACGGAACTGTCCAATTTTCTTAGACCTTCTAAGATAATGAGTCACCCTATAGCTCATTATCTCCTCAGTAACAGACCAATTTAATATCCTTGAGTTAAAGTGTACTCGTTCTTTAAGAGAATGTTTGCACTTCTTTTTAAGTAGGTATGTTTGTATCATTTTTTCCCTAGAGTAGGGGATCAAACCCAGGGTGTAGCACATGCTAGCAAAGACCCTTCCACTGTGCCACTTTGTGGGAGTGTGCATCTTTCTCAGGTGCCCCTGGCAGCCAACACCCTGCTCATCCACAAGTTGAGTTCCCCATGGGTTCAGCAACCCAGCTCACTGCTGTACTCTTGGGGGCCAACGGAGAGAGGACTGAATGAAGGCAAGGTGCTGCCACACACCCTTGCACACTCTCACCCAGGAAAACACGATATACCATGCTCCCTCCCAACCCCCCAGTATTTTGGCTGCAAGGTAGCAAAGGAGAGAAGATAAACTTATTTCACAATAAGCATGTATCATTTATAAAACTGGTTTTTAATTCAAAAAGGTGAGAGAAGTCCTTGAAAAGACTTTGAGGGACAAGACCATAAAAGGCAAAAATAACTATTAAAACGTGACAATTTTTAGACATGTTGTATAGAAACAAATATCTCCTGTTTCAACAGCCCAGGATGGTATTAGTGATATTTTTAGGAATCAAAAAGTCATTATGAGAACTGAATTCAGTTCACCCTGAGTTACATGAAACAGGGAAGACATGATTAGAGATATTTTTATCAAAGCTACCTGAAACTTTAAAAAGCAACTTTTAGTTATCAGGATAATAATTTAAAAATGATTTTTTTACCTGGCATGGTGTACACACTAGCAACTGGGGGCTGAAGCAGGAGGATCATAAATTTGAGGCCAGCTTGGTCTAATAGCAAGACCCTGACTCAAAATTAAAAATAAAAAAGACTGGAGATGTAGCTCAGCAGAAAACATCCCTGGGTTTAAGGCCCAGTGCCGCAAGGAAAAAAACTGAATTTCCTGGGAATACTTAATTCCCTAAAAGAACCAAATAAATAAAGCAGAATTTTAAGATGCATTTGATGACTAACACGTCAAATAAATACRGTGGGATTTCAACTCGTTTTTAAATTTCAAATTCCAATGATCTGAAAATTATGATGCCACTAATAATTTGACAAATCCAGATTAAAATAGTGAGAGCATCTATTCGACTAGCAAAAACTAAAAAAAAAAAAAAAAAATCTGAGCACTTGAGCATTCTAAAATCTGGCAACTCATATTCTGCTGTATGTATAAATTAGGATAACTACTTTAGAAATAATATTCTATCAAAATTGATAACACACATCCCCTCTGAGTCAGCACTGCTGTTCCAGGTGTCTACACCTGGAGAATTTCCAGCCATGTTACAAGATGAACTGTACAAAAATGTTCAAGTTTTTTTTTTTTTTTTTTAATTCCAGGGATTGAACCCAGGGGTGCTTAACCTCTGAGCCACATCCCCAACCCTTTATTTTTTATATTGAGAAAGGGATCTTGCTAAGTTGCTTAGGGCCTCACTGAGCCTAGCTTTGAACTAGTGATCCTCCTGCCTCAACCTCCTTAGCCACTGGGACTGCAGGCATGCATTACCACACCCAGCAAATGTTCCGCATTTCTAATAATGACAGTCTTGGTATATTCACAAAATACACTATAGAACAGTGAAAACGAATAACTTAAAGCCATATATACGCACACGCACACGTATATTATAATGTTGAATAAAAGGAGTAGCAGAACACATATCAAATGATGTCTTCAGCACACAAAAACATTTCATATATTTATATTATATGTACATATATTTTGATATGTATGGTATATACAAAAATATATGAGCATGAAATAGAAGATAAATATAAAATTTATGACAGAAGCTGTACTCTAGGAAACAGGGAAAAGATTAGGGATGAATGGCACAAAAATCTTCAACCTGTGACTGGACTCAAGGGCCTGAGTCATGAGTGCTGATGAAATATCTATATCTGCTGTATAACTTCTGGATTAATTTTCTGTTAATTTTCTGTTTTACTCCTGAATTAATTTGGCATTTCTGAAAGCGTGGGATGCCCTGTGAAAACTGCCATCATCCAAGAGTTGGTGTTTCAGAGTGGTTCTTCTGAAGGAACCAGAGGYTCATCCAAATCTCACATAGCTTGAATTGTCACTAAGACTGCATGACAAGAACATAAACAGGAATCTCCATACCGCTCACCATAAGGGTTGCGCCAATTTGGAGTCCTACCAGCAATGTGTGAGTGTGCCTTTCCCCCCACATCCTTACCAACATTTATTGTTGATGATTGCCATTCTGACTGGGGTGAGATGAAATCTTAGAGTAGTTTTTGATTTGCATTTTCTAGTTGCTAAAGATATTGAACACTTCTTCATATATCTATTGATCAACTATATTTCTTCTTCTATGAAGTGTCTGTTCACTTCCTTGGTTCATTTATTGAGTCAATCCCCAAAAAACAAAGGTTGAATGTTTTTTCTGACATGTGGATGCTAATTCACAATAAGGGGTGTGAGGGGATAGAGAAGAATATTGTTATTTTAGATTAGGTAGAGGGGAGTGAAGGGAGGAGAGAGGGCATGGGGGTACGAAGGACAATAGAATGAATCAAGATGTTATTATCCTATGTACATATATAACTATATGACCAGTGGGATTCTACATCATGTACAACTAGAAGAAGGAGAAATTATACTCCATCTATGTATGATGTATCAAAGTGCATTCATATTTAACTAATTAGAGCAAATTACAAAATAATAAAAAATGTTTAAAAAGAGACATGAACAGCTAAGAAAAACAAACAAACAGAGACCAACCACCAGCCACCAACACAGCTACCATTTGCTGGTCGTCTCAGACAGGCGGGTACCAGTTACCCAGAAGACAGACTTTTTGTCTATGCTCTCTACTCATAAGGCCCAGGGAGACAGGCTCTAGCTAATAACAGGTCTCCACATCAGTCGCAGGCTGCCATGCAGGTAAGCAGTTTTGTAGTCCAGCTCACACTAGCCCTCTACTTAACACCAACAGATTCACATGGTCTCCCCCTAAGCCCAGCTGTGTTCCATCAGGGGCCTTCATATCGCTTTGCTTTCTATTTTCTGCAACCACATTATGATAGAACTGGCAGTCACAGAATTTACCATCTGCTACGCTGAAAAGGGTGTGTGTGGGGGGGTGAGTTTACACATGCTACAAATGCAGCTCACTTACTCCAAACTAGAACTGATCAAAATATGAAAGATGTACCCATTTGCTAAACAAGAATTCAAACACCCACTTATTTCATTTTAGGTAGATCCAGAAACATCTCTTGCAATCTATCATTCTATAAACAGGGAGAAGTTAGCAAAGATTACGGGTCTTTTTGGTAGAGATGCATCTTTCTGCCACACAGAGGCCCCTCACCCATCCCACCCTTTGCTCTGCCCTGCCCATGCAGCTGCACCATCTRTAAAAACTGCTTCTTTTTGTGTTGAGAATTGCTCATGAAGACTTTGCAAAAGCAACAGATGTTCCTGGGCCCACGTCATTTAATTAGGATGCCCAACAATTCTCTGCAGCTCAAGGCTGGGGTAAGACTTAGCAGCGTGAGTGCTGGCTGGTTTAAGCAAGCTGGGTAACACTACAGCTATTCTAGAGTTTCGATTCTGGCTCTCTGTGGAGTAGTGAATTGACCAAACATTGGCCTCGCTAGTTTTGAAAATCCTTAATATCAGAAGCTCCGGCTATTTTCCATATCTCTTCCTTGAGCCTCATCCAGGCAGATAAAACCAAACCAGGATCTCAGAGTGCTGGCAGGCTGCTGTGCAGAGCAAAGTCCCTCTAGTGTGAACTAGCATCTCCGTACTTTCCCCCCTCCACCATGGGCTACTCAGTTCTTTCCCCCTCGACCATCATCCAACTATTGCCAACACTAAAGTGGCTGTTTACCAGGCTCAGCTGAAGCACAGATAACTGATACTGATAGTAGCAAGACAGCTTTATCTTTTGCTTTGTATATATTTTATGCAAGAAAAACCTTCAACATTCTCAATTGTGTCTAATTTTAGTTACTATAAAATTCATTTTTATCTTTCTGGTACACAATGCAATGGAAGGTTGCCATCTTCTAGACAGGACAATTTGCGACCCAAGARGCAGACACACGCACCTGCCTGCAAACATCACCAAGAGGGGACAATCTATATACAAATACCTTACAGTTGACTGAATTGAACTTCTAATCACATGCCACCTGTGATTATTGAATATCTGGACTTCTGTCCTCAGAGCACTGAACAAACTCATGCCAAACCCATACCTGCCAGGCACCGTGCTAAGCACTGAGGGGAGTGTGGAACCCCACAGACACTGTGTGCTCATAAAACGTATCTTTACCAAGARACCAACAATAAAACAAGCAATTTGTGAGGACACCTGGTAAAACGAGAAAAATGCCACACTGCTGCAGGAACACAGAGCAAAGGCAATGGCACCAGGTATGGAGAGGTCTCAACCCTAGGTCATATCTCTTGCAGTCCATTTCTTTCACATCTGGTTACCATATTTTAAATTGTAAACATGCATGGCATCAGAATTATGCAGAATTACCTATTTACCTGCTTTTAGAATCCTTGGTGATGCGGTGAGAGGACCATCGAAACATTTTTAGTAACTGACACTTCTACTGTTCCACCTGTGTAAGTCTGGCTAGTACTCAACTGTGCTTTCTGGATTTCTACAGGTGTATCCTTAAAGAATGCGAGACATTAAATCATTCCCACTAGCATGGAATTCCTTTTACTCTCTTTCTCTTTTGGTGTTCTTTCTTCCAATTCAAAGTTCTTTCCCTCCAATTTTCATAGGCAATAAAGAAGTAGTAGCTGTCCCCCCAAGCTGTCTCACAGCATTCTCCAAATTCTAGGTCTTGTGTGTTAGATGGAAACACATGTCATCAGAACTGAGATCCTTGCTCTTTGTTTCTGGATAGATTGCTGTTAATAAGAGACTCATTTTCACTTTCAAACTGCTAAGTAATTACTTTTTCTCTGGCACAACCACTTGCCACTCTGTCTCAAAGAAACTGCATGTATGTGGATGTATTATGCATGAATAGTTAGCATAATGGATGCATATCTTGTTCTTTAAAGTGGCTTCTTTATGGTTTTTTTTTTAAATAAAATACTTTGGGACCTTCACCTCTGAATATTACACAAGAGGAAGAAATTTTAACAATAGACAACTGAGCCAACACGCAAACACTATCATATAGCCTGCTTCTTGAAACACAACTCTTGGAAAGTGTCTGCCTCATTCCCTTTTCAGTCATTGTTCCTGGCAAGCTGACAGAGCCGCCTGATGCACTGGTACAGCAGCTCACCCAAACGGCTCCTAATCAGCCACTTAAACATTTATGCATTTCAAAACTCGATCTCTGAACATAATATTAAACATAAATACTTACTATTTAACGACAGACATTCTTCTATTATACAGAGTTCCTTCTTTCTCTGCACACTCCACACACACCCCCGCCACCCTGAGAAATGTGAAAGCCATTCCATTCAAAGCCCAATAAGACTTTTCCCCCATATAAGCAAAAAACCCAAAGGATTATGACAAAGATCCTGAGTGAGTCAGAAGAGAATGCCCTTCAATTGTAAAAGCATGGCTGACATTTAAATATGGTAACTGCTACACAAGCAAAGGGACACATTTTTATTTGGTTGATTCCAAATATATCATCATCTATTTTGCCAGGCCCCCAAATACAGACTTAGAAGAGTTGCTACCTTAAATGTGATAGGCTCTCTGATTTTTTCACATACAATTGATGATGCTACTTAGAAAATGGACAAAAATTAATGGTAAAAGTAGCAAATAGCACTCTTTCACAATTCCCACTTACCTTGACGTTAAAACACAAAAGTCTCAAGATTATTTTATACTTTAAGGCAACCTGAACCAACTGCTTAGAACCTTTTTAATATTTTGATAATAATGAATTCTGGCTGATAAATGTGACAAGTATATAAGAAATATGCAGATGGTTTACTATAAAAAGCAATTAATTCTGCTTGTGAGAGAGTTCGAAGAGATTTAAAATAAAAATAAGTGACATATAATCCAAACATTCAAGTTGACCCAATTTTGTCACTTGGGAAGAACAGAAACCTTGTCTTTTTATGTTTTATTCCATTCCACCACCAGGCTCCAGACACCTGCTTATACAATGACTGCTAACTCATCATGAATACTTGTCAACTTGTCTGTGCCCTGGACAGAGTTTTAACTCAAGAGTAGAACATTCATGTATTTTTCGTTATACTTTGGTGCTCAGAAGGCATCTGACAGAAAGGTTTTCCTTCAAAAAAGCTTTCCTTATAAACTCAAACAGAATCTGATTCCAACCTTAAAGTTATTGATAAAAACCATAAAATCGTCAACATTCTGTTGCTCCTAGTCAGAATCCTGCAAAAGAGGGAGGGAGACAGACATACAGAAACACAGACACACACACACACACACACACACACACACACACGAATTCTTCTGACATGAGACTGATTTCATTTTTCAATTTTTCAACACAAACTGATGAATGGTAAAGGCACATGACCCAGAAAAGTACTGAGTCTGACAATTTGCTGTGGGAAATTCACACACCAATGATAAAGAATAAAATGAGGACTTTTGTGGGRAATGAGTCACTTTGCTCCCATCAGTTTACCTGCTTGTAAGAGAGCACTGTGTTGGAAGACCCAAGTTTGAATCTTGACTCTGACACTACCTACCTGTTTGACCTCAGGAAACTCACTCCAGCTGAGGTCCAATTCATGCATGGACGAAATGGAGCCCATGGGGCTGTTTGGTGCATTAGATGAGGGAGATAGGAGGACAGATGTCCCACAATGGCTTCTTAATAAACAACCTCATAAGCAACTGCCTTCCCTGAAGACCATGGATCCTGACACTTGCCCCAACAGAGAAGACCCAAATCAGGCAAGAAGACCCTACCYAAAGGAGTCACATCCACTGCCTCTTCCAATTGACAAGGCTCCTGCCTGGCAGCTAAGATAATCAGACCTAACAGAAACACATGGAAGGCAGAAATACCTTGCCATCTATTTTTCTTTTCCCCTACTCCTGCCGAATTTCCCCATATCGAATTAAAAACGGCAAAAAGGAAAAAAAAAAAAAAAAAAACAAGCCTTACTCTAGAAGGCTATCCCTGACAGATTTAACTGGACTCTAGGTGGGGGCCATCAGACAAAGATGGCGGCTTGTCTTTCCTGAAGTGGACAGGACAAAGCTCCCCCAGCCCGGCACAAGAAAGTGCTTTCCCAGAGAAAATGGTGTCCTCCATTTACCACCTCCGGAACTAAAGCTGCTTTTACTCATTCTATGTTGTATAAAAGGCTTTTATTATATGCTTCCCTCCTTTGTAACACGGCCCCCCTTTTGGGGAAAAAAATCTGCAGTAATAAGCAAGCTAGTCTTTTAACAGGAGGTAAACAGAGTGCAGTGAACTTAAAACCACTCTACTTTGTTTTACCCAACCACACAGCATTCCTTATTGCTTTCATTTCTTTTCTTCCCCTTTCTGTTAATAGTTATTTTTAAGAATTAGGACAGAAGCAGGTCAACAATGCCTACAGATGTTACAAAAGTATTAGGCCACACTCTGCACAGAGACGCATGTAAACAGTTAATGGGCTAGGGTAACGTATAATCCTTCTTTGACCAAATGCATTTTACCTATAATTCCACTTGCATAACAGACGGCTCACTTAAAACCTCCCTGCAGAAAGTGGCTCTCAGTTAAACAGCCATCACCACCACCACCAAGAGATGCTTACAGAGCACCTCCTATTTTTAGGGTGCTGCTAGGTCTACACATAGTAAGGATTAAGGAAGAAGAAAAGATAAAGCAAAAATGATTTATGATTTAGTCTTCTCATTCCTCTGTTACTGACTTCTGTCTGCATCCTTCTTTCTCTACCACATGAWGACACAGGTTTGCTTTGTCCCTCACGTCTCCTGGGGTGTGTCAGAGTGTTCTTCTGAATCAACCACCTCCCAACTTGCCTTGCTCTCACCCTTCCAGGGCCAGGAGCAGCTAAGCAAGACTCCATGAGCTGACGACCTGGCAGCCTCTTTCTCCTCCCTAGTGGGAGGATGGGTAATTCATGAAAGAGGATCAAGCTATCTAATCTAAGCACCATGCAGTACATGTGTTTTGAAATTATCAGGCTCCAGGCATGCCAGATGGAACACACCCTCTTCACCTGTTGATACGTTCAGGACATCTATTACTAGGGTGGTTATGGTGAGGGAAGGAGAAATATCTGGCCAAGCCAATTTCTATGGACTCTTCCCTTAACACAGAGGTGAGGACCAGCCACTTCTATCACGGACATTTTAATCATCCCCACCTAGCATTCCCTGAATTGTATGATGAAGGAAAGAGAAGAAACTTGAGATTTCACAGACCACCAGGGGTTAACTTATAAAAGAGCAAAGGACCCTTAGAAGTAGGTGGAAAGTAATTATCCAAAAATCTATTATAACCCGCTTTGAAACAGAGTACTTACTGTTAATATCACTAACCACACCACAACTAAAGGTGGCAAATTAATATGAGTGAAACAGTTAAACACGATTCTCCATGGCCCAATAAATAATACCAAATAAGCCACAAGGTTCACAACTATTTAGCTCACTACCAATTTTTACTACAATGTTACTCTGAAATTTTAATGATGAGATTTCATAATTTATAGTAGTGACAACTACCCTTCTTATTTAATAACCACTACGGACCTTTTTTATTAATTTCCCACTAGGGTTATAATGCTTTAAAATAGTTGGTCTATACAAAAAAAATAATTTTTAAAAGCAAATTTCATTTATATCTAAAAACAACCACAGACAATACTGTTTGCTACCTCTTATTTTTCATTTTCTACTCACTCCCTCTACTTTTCTGACCTTCTATTTGTCCTCCCTTAAATTTATAGGGGGCTACAGACATACACATACACACATGCATACATGCCACATATGTATGTATATGTGTGTATGTGTATTTGTAGGTGCCACACATGTATGTATATGTGTGTATGTGTATATGTAGGTATGCACATGTGTGGGGGGATGGATACACAGACAGATATCAGCAAACATTCCCAAATCTTATATGGACATTGCTAGAGTCAAATGGATACAGTTTATAAAGAATTCAGCTACTTAACAGTTAAAAAATTATACTGCCAGACTTCCCCTTCACCAGGTTTCCCTTCTTCACACTGGGTGCTTTTCAACTTCTCTCATATTATTCACACAGGCAGAAGAAGTATCTATACAGCAGGTTTATGGCAGTATCGGCTAACCACTAAGCACTAATTCCATGGAGTTCTCTCCAGGATCTTACATGTCTAGGTCCTAAAGGCAAATGTCCMAGGCCTTCAATTTCATCCCCAGAATCACAAATCTGACTGTCAGGAAAAAGTGCAATTCTTGGGGACTAGCTTGCTTGGCCCAGTGCCTCACCACACATTTAGCTGTGTCGTTAATCTCCCAGAGCTGCGCCTACTGTGGCATGCCTGCTATTCTTTACCATCTGGAGCCTGGAGTTGATATTAGCTTGAACCACACATGCAAGAGAAAAGAAGGGGGAAAAAAAACCCTCATTCACATTTAACTGAAATTGGTGGCTGAACAATACACTACGCTGCCTAGGCTTTCACACATGGAAGAAAAGGGAAGAAAAGGGTAAAGTACAAACCTTCTCCTTTGTTTTCTGGTTCTCTGCTCTGAGGTCTTCATATTCGCCTATTGCTAAAAGAAAAAGGAAAGCAACATTACAACTCAGAGGAAAGTTTACTGTGGGAAAACCCAAGAACCCAACTAACCCCACCGGCTCTTTTCTAGGCTGGGAAGAATGGAGAAGAAACCAGGAGGGCTTCTGCTTTGGAGTGTAAGGAAGAAAACATGGCCCACCACGCTGACCTTCAGCGGTCCCGGGTCATTAGGAAGGTGAGAGCCAGAAGTGCCCCAGGACAAGCCGCTCCTCCTCCTCCAGGCTCAACACCCTGTCCTGTGAAAAGATTCAGGAGGTGTTCCGGGAAGTTCCTCCAACACTGAGTCTGTGGTGTCACAACCAAGAGGTTTATTTGGGAATGGACCTCTAGAAAATGAAGCATACCTCCCAATGTCACGTATCAGCTTTCTCCAGAGCAAAAAGTTGACCCCATGAACATCTGGCTAAGAACAACCATTTCCAGGCAAGACTGGCAGTCACCAAGCCACCACCAGGAATTGCCAGGCTCAGTTCACTGAGTCAGGAATACGTGTAAATCAGACATATTTCCAACTATGTGGGGGGAAAAACAGTTCCCTACTGAAAATTCCCTGTAGCTAGAAAAATAAAATAACTGAACCCCTTCATTCAGCTTTTAGCAAAAACCCCATTCTTAGGTATCCTCAAGGTAAACCTGAGACAAAGTTTTGGGCAACCACCTAAGATCATGGAGGGAACAGAACATCTAAGGTAAATCTAGAACTGCTTCTCACCCACCCCAGCTACCCCAACCACAAAGCCAGTGAATTATCAGGCTAGACGTTCATCTTTTAAAAAATTAATTGGGATTTAGCTCCTAAAAAACTCTATTTTTCTTTAAAAAAAAAAAAAAACTTCCTATCTCTTCGAATAATCAGACAGAAATAAAAAATCAAACCAGTGGCTTCAAGAACATTCCAGATAATGTGGTCACTGGTTCTAGAAATGTATGATTGTGCGATTCTAAGTACTGGAGCAGAGAACATCCCAGAAATAAACAACCAACAAGGGAAAGGGCACTCTGCTTTTTCAAGTGAGCCTACAGGTTCAGAGAACTTGCAGTGATGGCAGCACCTAAATTTTAACATCTAATCTAAACTTCTTCCATTTAAAACATCCGATAATGGCTTTGCAAGCTTTTCTAAAACATGCATGCTATTCTTCCATTATACTGCCAATTCTACCCACAGGAAACACTGCAAACTCCCAATCACTGGGTCTTTATCAAGGGCATTTATTAATCCCACGTTTATGAGATTACACCAACAATGTCCAGAAGTTTTATTAGCACCCCGTAAACATGAAGTAAGAATTAATGTCAACTTTATTAAAGCCCCCCACACCCCCAAATCCTTGAACATTAGATAGCCCACTAAATAGCTCTGAATGTATATCCATAGAGATAAGAGCACTTTGAAAACAATTATATTTTCAACAGAAAAGATTTGACTGATCTCAGATTGAAGCCCTTTACACTTCAGCCCCTCATCAGCCCCCACCACTGAGGATAAACTAAAGTGTCCTTGGATCTTAAAAATCAATGAGATGGGCCCCCTTTTAACTAAGAAAGAGATTCTACAAACATCCACTTCCGCCATTGGTCATGGTCCCGAATCTTATTAATATATCTAATACTGCTTCAAAAAAATAAATACAAAAATATTTTATTAAGAGACTTTGATTTAGATTACTTGACATTTAAAAGTATCTGTAGATGAAGTTGAAAAACCAAAATTGATTTAACACTCTATTACTGGTGCCCTACTTTATAGACCTCCGCACAAACAATAAAGGCTTATAAAACCATAATCTCATATTGACATTAAGAAATTTTTTTCTATTTAAAACATCGGATAATGGCTTTGAAAGCCTTTTTAAAACACCCATACTATTCTTCCATTATATTGCCAATAGAACCCAGATGAAACATTGTAAACTCTCAATTACTGGCTCTTTATTAAAAGCATTAATTAAGAACCCTTCACCTATCACATTTTAGTGCAAAACACAGAAAATATGCTTTCTTGTGACTACATGAGACTCAAAAAAAAAAAAGCAAGATGCAAGGAAAGGAAAGTATTAAGAATTCAACCACTTGGCACCAAGCAGGGGATAACTGAGAAATGGGCATAAAAGAACAACAAAGCATGTATTTGGGGTTTAAAAACCAAGTTTGCTGCCATAAATAATACGTATACATGCATATACACAATGCATATACACAAGTATCAAGGGGACACACAGGTAACCCCATCCTCAGCAAAACTTGTGAAAACTGAAGTGACCTAAACTATTATTCAGACCTTTTTTGGTGGACAGCATTGCTAGGGGTCATAGAGTTTCTTCTTATTTCAGGACTGGCTCAGAGTTTGCAAATTTTAAATAATAAGCCTGCACAGTTTAAGTGATTTGACAACAGAGATCCTCCAATCCTGGATTGATCAATGCCTAAGAAGAGAGGAATCTGACCCAACTCTCTGCCATAAGACAGATCCTCACAGCTTGGGGAGACTTCATCTCCTAGGTATACGGGTATAGCAAATGTCACTATACCAAAGGGTCATCTAGGACAGTCATTAAAATGTACAGCCTACTTTCAGCTGAGCACTCATTGGCTATAGGAGCTGGGAAAAGTCAGTTAATCTCTCAGAGTCTCGGGKTACCTCATCTGATAACAGTGTCTCCCACAGAGCTGTTATTAAGAGAAGAGTTAACATGTGTGTCTAGGCACATGAAGTGTTCCACACATGTTAGCGGTGGTTATTGTCAAACAGTAAAGTACATCAAATCCTGAGTGCATGACAAAAGAGATCAGGTTGCCCTGATATCCTGGGTTACTTTTGTCCCACAGGGCCCATAAAGATGGCCAACTGGAAAAATCTGAAACCCAGGGCACCATCATCCTTCACCAAATAAAAGGAGGGGTAAAGGGGTTAAAGATCAAGTGTGAATCATTTGTTGTAAAGAAACGTTTGCTACAAAGCAGTGGAAGCACATCTGAGAGACATACTTTTCAATCCTGCTGCACATTAGATTGGGCTGGGCAGCACTGCAGTCACACAGACTCCAGTCCCCTCACCTCCCACACCAAGATTCTGATTTGACTCGTCTAGGTGGGGCTCAGGCACCCTTTGCTTTTCTTGAGAATTGAGTGCCCAGGTAATTCTAATGTGTAGCCAAGGTGGGGAACCCCACATAACTGTACGGAATGGAAGAAAAAGGAAGATGGTGGAGAAAACAAGGAGAATAGCAGGCAGAGCACGTGTATCCAGAACCATGCTGGTTTTCCATTTTCTAACTCCCTAATACCAAGAAAAGGAGTTTTCATTCCAAGCTGCAAATCACGAAACAGCTCAGGAGGCTGCTGAGTAGACATATTTGTTTAAAAAAATGTGACAACTAAAGTCCATAACCACAAGTCAATAACAATGCCTCTGGCGAGAATTAACAACCTTCATGGCTTGCCTGGGACTGTCCATTTTAGCACTGAAAGTACAGCATCCCTGCACACTTCTCAGTCCCATGTGGACTGACTGACTACCTCTATTGGTATCTCCAGACAAGCATTTCCAACTAGCACTTTGTAAACCTGCACTGTCCAATAAGGCAGACACTGGCCACCAGTAGCCATTTAAATATTTATCAATTAAAATGTAAAGTTCTATTCTTTAGGTTCATTAGTCACAATTCAAGTGCTGAACATCCATGTGTGGCTACTGGATACCACTCTGGACACTGGACACAGAACCTTCTTAACACAGCAGAAAGTTCTACTGGTCAGTACTCTTCTGCACATCTCTGTCCTGATGTCCTATAAGCGCCTCAACTCAACATGTTAGAAAGTGAGCTCAGCAATCCCCCTTCACTCAAACTTCCTGCTTCCAGCACACAGGGTCTCCTTCACTGGTGTCACCTTCCACCCAGCCCCCAAGCTACTACCCACAGGGTCTCCCTTGAGTCCACTTCCCTCTACCTACACAGCATCAAACTCCTRTATCTAAAAATGTCTCTCCAATCTGCCCTTCCTCTGTAGCCAGGATCTCTGTCCCAATTCAGACCCTCAATATTAACAAAACCCTCYGATCCAGCTCTAACTTCACTTTATCCCAAGTTTGTTCTTTACACAGTGGGCGGTCAGCATATTGACAAAAAAAAAAAAAAAAAAAATCCTCTTCTTCCATCTTCTTGTTTAAAACCTCCAAAACCTTAGCTTCACAATCTGGAACCCACTTGACTGCCTGCCATTCAGTCTCAGAGTCCACCACAAGCTACTCCATCACACCCAGAGTCCAGGGCTTCCCTGAATCCTGTAAGACCTTTCATACATAGGTGCCTCTGCAAATGTTTTCTCCTCTGCCTGTGAGGTCTTCCCCATCTCCTTCCTTGCAATGCAGGTCTTCCAAGAGGCTCTCCTCACGTATCTCAGGCAAAGTCAGCACTTTTCTTTTAACACCAGAAGGCCCTGTTCATATAGGTTAAGCAGCCCTACTCCAAAAATCAGAAACTGGAAATGCTTCGAAACATGAAACTTTTGAGCACCGAAGTTTCAGATTTTGGAACATTTTGGACTTAAAATTTTCTTGTTAGATATACTCAACTAGTAATGTCTATGCAAATATTCCAAAATTTTAAAAATACAAAGTAAGCATCCTGGATACAGGAACTAAACCTGTAGCTCTGTTAGAGCCCCTACACACAGCCATCATAAATTAGCTGCATACAGGTTGTTTTCTCATCTTTCTTTCCACCCAACTGACTGAACTATGCCTGTGCAAAATACCAAACACAGAGTTCTTGCCTATGTTGAATGAAAGGCTATGTCCACTCGAATCTGTGATGCAAAACAACTGAGCCAAATATTAACATCCCCATTTTACAAAGGAAGACAGAAATCCATAGAGAAATCAAATCCCACAGTTTTCGAAAGCAGAACCTGTCTCTTGATTCCCAAAGTCATTCAGGGAAGAAGACAGTACTGAGCATAACTGTGCACAATGCA